GACACGGCGACGCCACAGGGAAACCAGCGACTCGAGACACGAGACGTGGGAGCATCAAAACGAGCCTTTCGTGCGAGACTTCCTCCAATCTTCACACTTTGTAGCTTCAAAATCGACGTTTTCCTACGAGTTTTCGTAGGAGCCTCTAAATTTTGCAACCTCAAAATCGATGTTTCGTGCGAGGCTTCCGTCAATTTTCAACACATGTCACAAAATGCCACGCCTCCCACGGATTGCACCTTGTCGCCACTTGACGCAGCCCTCCCAATGCCATTTACAAAAAAAACAATCAACACGACACGTCCAAAGTGCTGTGCCTGCCACGAAAGCTGCCACAGATCGTCTGAAAACGTCGCAAAAGTATTGCGCCTGCCACACAAAACGACTTTCAACACATTGCAAAACACGTCTGAATGACACGAAGTGCCACGCCTGCCACGCGAAACGAAGCAACGAAACGTTGGAAACCTCCAAACCTGACCACCTCTGCAGAACTTCCCATAGGCACGGCCATACTGGGATCGTACGAACGGTTGCGGACGGTTGCGAACGGTTGCGGCCACAAACGCAACGTCGACCGAACACACCCTCAACCCCCAGACCCCCAGAGTGAAACGGGAACCCTTGCTACGCATTCGGGAAAATGCGCCATCTAATCGTTTCTGAGATACACCGGTTTCAAAATAGATGGCCCGTTCCAGGGCCCTCCAAAAAATGGATGGCACCGACATGTGGGGCCACAGAACACGCATTTAAGCTATATCGCAGAGCGCGCAAATAGAAACAAAAAAACTTCAGAAATTGGACAGCAAGACTGAAGAGATGGCCCCAACCGCCCTGACATGAGCCAAGCATTTTGCCTTCTTTTCCCAAACATGCCTCATCCAAATTCGTTCTGTTGGAATTTCACCCAACTGGGATTGATTTTGAATATTCTTTCACTCAATTTCAACTAGCTTTCATTCACTCACTCAGTCACTCCGTTGCTATTGCTCATGTGCCTTCATTCTCGTTTGGCGTTTTTCGAGTAAGAATTGCGCCATCTATTTTGTGCAACCCAGAATAGTGCGCGGATGTTGTCAAACTCCGCTTACCATGCCTAATTGTACTCCCTGATGTTGCCTCAGGCCTTGCAGTTGGACTCTCCTGGAGTCCGACGGGTGCTGTTTGCGGTGAGGAGCCACAGGATGCACTGAAAGTATTTGCACCAAATTATCTCAGAAATTATCATGCTCCTCATTGGACCAAGGACGATGCGGGGACGCAGGCTGTTGTTTCTCCGGCGGTGTGGGGGGGCTCAGAACATTCTATGCCCCACAGGCTCCAATGTGTGTTGTATATGCTTACATTTGGCTTTGTGCAAAATAATTTGCACATTGGCTTCGAGAACCCCTACGTACTCAAAATCAAGCACATTCAAAATTGAGGATTCGAGATTCCTATATGTTGATGTTGGGGTTCGAGAGATGTTTCAAGAATTGGTTCCCGTCACTCAAAAGAATGCTGCGTTTGGATCTTAAGTGGTGGCGCAAAAACCACCGCATGAAAATCCAAGGGGCCGGCCACCGCAGGTGGGAGCAGTGGTGCGGCAAGGGGCGTATGTGCCGCCGCCACTGCTCCCACCGCGGCCGGTAGGGTTCTCAGCAAGGAAAGGGCGGGAACAATCATACCTACGACGCCCTGTGTGCAAGTACATCAAATACAGTGAGCCACATCCAGGGGTAACTGGTTCCTTTCCAGTCTCCAACTGGTTCCTTCATGGATTGATGGGTTGTTGTATGTGGATGGAGTAACTTAGTAAGAGAAACTTAAGCAAACATTGTGATGAACGCCTAACACAATAATAAATACCTGGTGTGATTCTTCTCAGCATGTGGGTGTGGTGGGATTGCCGGTTGCACCCGGCTGCCATTTTCCCAAAGTGAGTTACCTCTGGGAGTGCCATGGTGTCCCCAGCCTGTAAGTTGTAGGAAAAGGCGACCAATCTCCAAGTACTGGATCACACTTTGGGGCAGCTTCTCCTGCACGGGGTGCTTAATTATTAATAGGAACCCGATGCTTCACATAATATACATTAATATATTCAGAATAAAACCCGTCCTCTTCATCAGCGCTGCTGCTGGCTGCTGCTGCTGCTGCTGCTGTCGGAGCTACTATCGCAGCTCAGCACTTCAGCCATGTCAACCCACTTGAGCTGCAAATAGCTTTGCTTGGGTACTGAGGTTCGAAAGATTTTGAAAGATCCACTTATGTTTTGGATAAGACCCACTTGCAGTTAGACTAGGCTAATGGTTTTCAAGGATGTTCAATGGAGATTATGCATGCAATTTCTTGGACACCTGGTTCAACATGCTCAACTCTTTTCCTCATACCGTTTTTTCTCCTCTTCTCGACTGCCTATAACACATCTTTAATATATTGTTTTGTAATATGGTGTCTCCATACTAACAAGAGAAGACCCTGCTCCTCTACGCTCTCGGGCCATCCGTCGTCTAGTAATGTGTTTTATTTGGTTGTTTTATCCCAGAACAAAGTTTGGCAATTTGCACCCGGTCATGAGGACAAACGGAGGATCACGGTAATCACGGTAGACTCGAGGCGATGCAGCTTAAAGATCCTTCTGTGGGAAACCCGGGGGGCCATAAACCTAGCATCTGGGGATGGTTTAAAGTTTATAGCACCCACAAAATGGTGATGATTTGGGGATGATTCCATGATTCATGACATTGTGTTTGCCACATTAGTTCATATACCTGAGTATCATATACCTGAGTATAACAACAGTGGTCAAGATGCTCCAGGTTTTCTTCCGAGGACGAGTCAATTTATGTCATAGTCACAACAATTCAGGAGTCTATGCCAAGGAAGGCCCGGGAAGTGGTAATTTGGCGACCCTGTTTGTTTGCTCTCAGTTCCGGAAGATTTCATCGAGTTTATTCAAGAGAAACGATGTAAGGCAACTAAAACTCGAGTTTACATCTTGTTTTTGTTAAACATCTACTAACTGTACTGAGGATTATATATTTGCATGATTTGTTTTGCTGTTTACCCTCCAATAGAAGCGGTCTTCAACGTTCAACCCATGCATCCCAGGCTGGATCACCCAAACCCTGGCTGAAGGAGCAGAGCGGACCTCTCGCAGAGCACCAATTTCCGGTACAAGTTGGGAATGAATGATTATCCTGTTTATCAATTTATAAAATGAATATATATATATATATGTTCTAAAGTTTTACCGGAAAACAGATATGATCAAAGATATGATTACATTTTTTCCTTGATATTTGCGAAAGGTCATCCGGACAATTCAGCACTTGGGTCTTAACAAAAGATTGAATTAACCATTGCAATCGGATTTTTCAAGTCGCAAAAGATCCAAAATGGTCACCAGAAGCCAACTTAAATATGGTCACAGATGAACTGCCAAGCCGGGATTATGTTCGAATATTCCTCATACATTCAGAAGTTGTGCGATATTTTATATTGTATGACGTTACATGAAATGCAAGAATGATGGCAGTATTCTTGGAATTTGTTGAAACTCTGGAAGCAAAAACATAATTCATGGGAACAACCCTGGTATCCTCTAACTTTTCCCGATAAACTGGCCCATTGACTATGGGATCGCTAAACTTGGTTCATGGAACCTGGAAATTCCACAGGCTGCAATAAGTTGGGAAAAGGATGGAACAGGTTGATTAACACACGATATCCTAACAACGTTTGAAAATCTAGCTGCATACAAACTACGTGCATCTTTAGAAACTATTCTGGCTGCTAGTGCCTTGTTTGGGGCTGGAACATGGATGTTAGTGATGTTTTACGCGAAGCATCCGTTCCAGAGGCATCCAATATGAATCACATTGTAACTATCATGGGTGCTTGCGATGACTCCATCTTCTTAGTATTTGACTTAACATACCATCAGAAACTGAAGTTGTTTGGACAACAGCATTTTTTTCGTTTTTTTTTCTCGTTCAGCACAAACCATCCACTTTTTAGGTGTCGACTCAGATCCTTTTTTTGGCCAGGACTCCAAGTCCAAGCTCTGACAGCGACAGCGCGAACAAAAAACTGGATGCAGCTGCCGCAGTGTTCAAAAGCACGGTTGATTGATGATAGCATAGGTATCATAGGGGATTATGCTAACCAAACTAACCACTATATTGGATGATACATGATGATACCGTTCGGTGTTGTTTGAACATGTTTGAACTATCTCTGGGCTAGTTACAGGACTCACCTTTTTGTGCACCAAGGATCACGTGATCCCCGGTGTTCCTCGTGGTGAGAATGTTTGGTGACGTCTATTTGCTATGGCGAATGACGTCTTGGTTAGCCAACTAGTTGGGTATTTTGATACTGTAAATGTAGACAGCTGAATTGCCAAAATGTAGACATCAAAAGTCTTAATACTGTGAATTGTAGACTTTTGCTGTAAATGTAGACAGCTGAAACCAAATACAGGGCGGCACCATGAAAAAATGTAAAATTGGCATGGCAATAAGCGGTTACAGTTTGTAATAGTAATTGGTAGCCACACGTGTTGCTCGTTAACCGCCATTTTCACTTCCAAATTGGCCGGTGTTCAGACAAACCCATCTCATATCGTCGATTATATATCTAGCTATATCCCGCCAAATTCCGTTATATACACCATGTAATAGTTAATAATTAATAACCATTGGGTACACCAACATGATTCCCCATTTTTCATGGCTCAACATCATGATGTCATGACATCATAATGAATTCATATATGGCTACAATTCATTCATATTCTTTGCCATATCATACCTACTGCATCCCATGGTGTATTGCTGGTTGGTGGTTTGGAACATATTTTATTTTTCCATATGTTGGGAATAATGATCCCAACTGACTAATATTTTTCGTAGGGGTTGAAACGACCAACCAGATTGTTTGTTTCAAATACCCAACATTTTCAGCGCATAGCATCGTGAAACGACAACCATTGTCACTGAGAGTGCCCTCCGCAGGTGGCGGCGCCGCCCGAAGAGACACGGCCGGAGGTGTGTTGAAACCGGGTTGGTTGGGATGAAATGCGAAATTTTTAAATCAACCATGATGTCAACCATAACCATATAGCTAAACAAAGAACATTTGGATTTGTTGACAGTTTGCAGTTTGTTTCAGCATGTTTGTGCTTTGTAAACAACTTGAACGTTGCCATATGCATAATGTTATGATTTAAAAACAGTTCAGTAAGTCGATGATGTCAGCTCAATACCTTTGTGTGTATAACTGTATAACGATAGATCCACTAATTTGAGCAACTGTGCATTTGCATCGGTATATTTTAATGTACATACATTCCCAGGAGTCTTCGCAAAAGTATGCTAAGTATGCTCGATCCACGTTGCTTTGCTTGCTTTCATTATGACTGAATGATTCATACTAGCAATTGCCACAAGCCACAAGCCCCCAACAAACACAGAATCACAAAGCCTGTTCTGCAACAGACCAACCGATAGACTCACAGAAAACACTGAAACACAGGTGGCTATGGGTCAATACCATACCACCTGACTTTTTTGTCTTGACAACCATACGTAGTCCCAGGTGAGTGCGGTAAATGAGGAGGAAGAGGAGGTGCCACTGGCGATTCACTGGCGATCTTGACTTGGGGCTCCCCCCACAAAGAAAAACACAAAATGGTAAGAGAAATGGATGGAAATCCTCTAGAAATGGAGGTGTCAATTTTCAACGTGAAAATCATCTAAAGATGAATCTCTGAATGGGAACATCATCTATCAAGGAATGTTCTTAATGGTTTTTTTTGATTATCTAGTGGTTGTGCGAGCTAAGGAGCTATGAGTAACAAATTAAATGGGGAGCCAGGGATCTATGGAGAGTTCACTAACGGCTATGATAGGTGATAATTAATAGGTGATACTATTGTTAATTATGTATGTATCACATATATACCACATTCTATTAATCAATAACTATTTATGGTGTTGAATTGAAGAATAAATTTCTTTCGTTGAATCCCCACAGTTTCTAGTTTCTAGTTGCATTTGCCAATGTGTTGCCAGTGAGTGTCTTGGGTCATTTTATTTGGCAAAAAAAATACCAGCCGAATCACCATGTCAATTGTATCCACTCTTTGCTGGAATATGCCTCCAGTATCTTCTAAAGCTCATTGCTTGCCAATGTGTTTTTGTGATCTCCCCTACTCTGTGTTGGACGTCTCAATTCTGGACATTGACATAGGTCAATTGGATTCAATTGCTACGATGGATAGCGCAATGGTGGTCCCACTAATTTGGTTTGTCTAAACCACTGGTTAATCGGTTACCCTCTGGTAAACTAACGCAAATTATGGAAAATTTCAATTCTTAATGGGAAAGCTCACTATAAATGACCATTTTCAATAGCTATGTTAAATTACCAGAGGGTAATCATCATATTCCGATATATTCCCCTTGTCTTCACTATATGTTCCCCATGTAATGGCCGTTTTTGGGGGACCCCCGATTTGCAGACGGACCCGTGTATACATTCAACACCTGAGGATTGCATTGACTTCACCGCGCTGACAGAGGCGGTTGTTTCAGAATGCTATGAAGCCAATATAGGGATGTTACCATCTAAATTGGGGATGCTGTAGATTGATATAGCGGGGCATATCACACATGAAATCACATCTGAAACGGGGGAGTTCTTTATGTTGTCCTTGGTGTCAGCCATAGAAACGGGATGGATGAACCTCAATGACACATGTTCAGAGGTTGAAACCACCAAGCACTTCGGGTTTAACCAACAACAGCTATGCGGAAACTGAATGGTGGAGGGGAGTTTCATAGTTTGGTTGAGGTGCCCATAGCTACTTTGATTGGGATATCTATCCATTTATCATTATTTATTGACCTATCTATCTATTTATCATTTTTTGGTATGATTTATCAACCTATTTATCTACGTATCATCATTTATCATTATTTATCCTGATTGATCATTATTTATGATTACTTATCTTATCATTATGTATCACGTTTTATTTACCATTATTTATCATTACTTATCGTTATTTGTCATTGTTTATCATTATCTATCTATCTATCTATCTATCTATCTATCCATCTATCTATCTATCTATCTATCTATCTATCTTATCTATCTAATCTATATTTCAATATTATCTATCTTATCTATCTTATCTATCTAATCTATCTTTTCTATTTTATATATCTTATCTATCTTATCTTTCTTATCTATCTTATCCATCTTATCTATCTTATCTATCTTATCTATCTTATCTATCTTATCTATCTTATCTATCGTATCTATCGTATCTATTTTATCCATCTTATCTATATTTTCTATCTTATCTATCTAGTCTCTCTTATCTTACATTATTTTTTTCTATCTATCAATCTATCTATTTATCTATTTATCGATCTATCTATCTAATCTATCTATCGATCTATATATCTATTTATCTTATCTATCTATCTATCTAACTATCTTTCTATCTATCTATCTACCTATCTCTCTCTCTAAATAATAATTTATCTAATAAATCTAATCTATCTAATCCATCTTTCTCTCTTATATATCTTATCTATCTTATCTATCTTATTTATCTTATCTATCGTATCTATCTTATCTATCTTATCTATCTTTTCTATCTTATCTATCTTATCTATATTATCTAAATTATCTATCTTATCTATCTTATCTATCTATCTTATCTTATCTTATCTTGCCTTATCTTATCTTATATTTTTTATTTTTATCTCATTCTATCTATCTATCTATCTATCTGTCTATCTATCTATCTATCTTTCTATCTTTTTATCTATCTATCTATCTATCTATCTATCTTTTTTATCCATCTATCTTATTTATCTATCTTGCTTATCTATCTATCTATCTATCTGTCTATCTATCTATCTATCTATCTATCTCTCTAAATAATAATTTATCTAATATATCTAATCTATCTAATCTATCTTTTCTATCTTATATATCTTATCTATCTTATCTATCTTATCTATCTTATCTTTTTTTTATCTTTCTTATCTATCTTATCTATCTTATATATCTTTTCTTATCTTATCTATCTATCTATCTATCAATATTTCTTTTTTTCTATCTATCTATCTATCTATGTATCTATCTATCTATCTATCTATCTATCTATCTATCTTATCTATCTAATCTATCTTTTCTATTTTATATATCTTATCTATCTTATCTTTCTAATCTATCTACCTACCTACCTATCTATCTATCTATCCATCTATCTATCTATCTTACCCTGCAGCAAATTACGCATTTGTTGCACAGCAAGCTTCATGTAGCTCCCTGGAATCAGCATCAAACAGAACATATGTTTTGTAGATAAGGTAGAAGAGGTATGATATGGGGAGGTTTCTCAACATATATCCAATGCAATACCCACTGTAAATGGAGGTTTATACTGGTGAATAGCTGGGGACATAATCTATAAAGGGCATTTGTTCAGTGCCACTTTTGGTTGTTTGTTCGTCCTTTACAGACTCTGATGGACTATTAACTTCACTATCCGGAAGAATATATTCTGAAGTCAGTTGAGGGATAAGACATGCTACAGTTCACAGTGTGGCTTTGGGCATGTATATTATAAACCTATATTTCTATTTGTTTGCTAAGAAAATACGTAGATAGATATGTATAGATATGTGATATCTACTGAAAAACGTAGGTGTCAAATCTGTATACTCGCAAGAGCTGCAAGTACATGTTTGGACCTTTTCAATTTGAGACCAAACCTTGAAGTTACACGCTACTTTGTACCTTATATTCGAGGCTATACACATATATTCATTAAATATATGAATATACATAAACGCATATACATATATAGTTGTATGTATGTATGTATGTAATGTAATGTAATGTAATGTGATGTAATGTGATGTAATGTAATGTAACGTAATGTAATGCAATGTAATGTATGTATGTATGTAATGCAATGTAATGTAACGTAACGTAATGTAATGTAATGTAATGTATGCATGTAATGTAATGTAATGTAACGTAACGTAATGTAATGTAATGTAACGAATGTATGTATGTATGTATGTATGTATGTATGTAATGGTATGTATGTAATGTAATGTATGTAATGTAATGTGATGTAATGTAATGTAATGTGACGTAATGTAATGTAATGTAATGTATTGTAATGTAGTATATGTATGTAATGAATGCGTGTATGTATGTATGTATGTATGTTTGTTTGTTTGTAATTAATCAATTAATTAATGTATGTATGTATGTATGCATGCATGCATGTATGTATGTATGTGTGTATGTATGTATGTGTGTATGTATGTATGTGTGTATGTATGTATGTATGTAATGTAATGTAATGTAATGTAATGTAATGTAATGTAATGTAATGTATGTAATGTATGTATGTAATTTAATGTAATGTAATGTAATGTAATTTATTTGTCATGTAATGTAATGTATTTGTAATTTAATGTAACCTAATCTAGTGTAATGCAATGTATTGTAACGTACGTACGTACGTATGTATGTACGTATATATATATATTAATATATCACCTGTGTTTGGAACTAGATGCGTGCATACAGATTGACAATATGTATATATAACATTTATTCATACAAACATGTTTGCATGTATGTATGTATGTTTCTATCTGTCTATCTATCTATCTATCTGTCTTTCTGTCTATCTATCTATCTATCTATATCTATCTTTCTATCTATCTATCTATCTATTTATCTATCTATGTATATATCTTATTTATCTATCTATCTATTTTATCTATCTAGCTGATCTATCTGTCTATCTATCTATCTATCTATCTATTTATCTATCTATCTATCTATCTATTATACATGTTGTAGCCTCGCGCCCCTGGCAGGCACAACATGCAGGCGCGACCATCGGAGGGAACTGCTTGATAAAACCAGTTGCGAAAACAACACGTTTGATGTTTAGTGTAATGTGGTATGTGCTTTAAAATAAACAATCCTATTAACCATCCATAGGGGTGGGTCATTTTACATCATCCCACTTCTATTCTAGGGGTATGCTGGGTATATCAAATAATTAGCCTCTATTGGACATGGTTTATTCATGTTTATTCTTATTTATTTTTGACTTTTCATGTTAAGGGGATACATCCCAAAAACTGATGAACAAGTCTTGACGTGTGTTTCTTTGTGATTTGATTTGGCAATTTCGAATGTCCTAAAACATGCATGATGTCCTAAACTTTGTGCAAGACCGCGTTTTTGTGACTCTTCTGAAGGGGGTATCCCATTTGTCTCGGTACAACAAGGAATGTTCAAAAATTCTATGTTGTATTAGTAGGAAAAAATTGTATAATCCTCTACCTGCATTTCCTGATCTATTTGTTTTTCTACTATTATTCCCCTTTGGGTAAATTCACATAGATCCTGAAAATAATTTTGACTAGAATCTAATCTTCCAACCCCTGGCAAGGTCCACCTGTTAATTTCCCGGAGCTTATGATTTTCGGTATTATTCCTAAGCTTCACTGACTGTACCGATGTGTCCCAAAGCGAGGTGCCGATGCGGCCGGGCAGCCTAAGCTGCCACAATTTGCCTCGCCAATTGTCACCCGCTTTGGTTCTAGATTTTCTTATACGTTCTTTTACTACCAGGGTATGTTGTATATCCAGATGATACATGATTGTATACGATGGCATGTTCATCATTCCTATTCGTATTGTTATTCATATATAATATTTTATAATCATGTATATATATATACATAATTATATATCATTATATATGTCTATATATCATTATATATCATTATATTTCATTATCTATCATTATATTTCATTATGTCGTTATATATTTTTATATATCATTATATATCATTTTAAATCATTAAATATCATTATATTTCATTATATATCATTATGTCGTTATATATCTTTATATATCATTATATATCATTTTAAATCATTAAATATCATTATATTTCACTATATATCATTATGTCGTTATATATCTTTATATATCATTATGTATCATTATATTATATCATTATATATCATTATATTATATCATCATATATCATTAAATATCATTGTATATCATTGTATATCATTATGTATCATGATTTATCATTATATATCATTATATGTCATTATATATCATTATCTATCATGATTTATATCCATATTTAGAATGTCTTATCTATCTGGCTACCGGCTACCATGTTTTCTCGGCCTGGTCCTTCCATCTTCAGCTGCCCCCTCTCGACCAAGGCCGAGAGAAGGAAACGGAGAGCTGGCACCAAAGAGTGGCCATGACATATTGGTTTCGATTGGGAACCTCGAGGTTTAGCCAAAGGTATGGAAAACCATGAAAAAAATGTGGTTTTATGGTATTTAAATTATTTAACCATCAAACATAGTGAACCATGGTGATTTAACCGTGAATTTAAGCAGCATATGGTGAACAATGGGGAATCACCCCCCAAAACGAGCAGTGGAATATAATATAGCAGCCAAATGATAATGGGAATTTAATGGGAATATCATGGGAACAAAACTTAATGGGAATATATAAGCAGTGGCTGCTGAACCCCTGTTGGTTGATGATTAGTTCGGGGGTGATAGTACTCAACCTATTGGGGATTAATGTATCATAAATCTTAATTCAAAAATATAAAGGGAAATCCCTATCAACCAACCTGTGGAATGGAATCCACAACTGGGAATTTACCAAGTTGAAACACAGGGATTGGTGGCGTACAGTCTTTGTGATGTCTGTCTTGAGTTGAATTTGCTTTTCTGTCAACCCATTGCTGATTGGCACCAAGCTTGCTTGGGAATAAGCCAAAAAATGGGTTTCTTTGAAAGTGGCAATGTTTCATAATTTTACAAGACAAAACTAGACGGACTCTTGTCCTTGGACATCACAACTTTCAGCGGCTTATAACCCAGTTTGCGAGCCAGTTCCCGAATTTAGAGATCATGTGAGCAGATTGTTAGCACGTTCTGGGGTGATCGCAAATGATTGCTGCATCCACAGAGGTTCTCACACAACGGGGTACAGGTACAGGATACCACAGATATTCATATATATATATATATATATAATATATATATATATGTACATAATTTGCTTGATCAAATCTATATAAACCAAAACTCCCAAAAGAGATGGTAGCATCTACGAACCCTCACAACAATGTGATTGGTCGCATAATGTATCCCCATTATTTATTCCCATTATATGCCATTATATCCCATTATCTATCTATCTATCTGTCTATCTATCTATCTGTCTATCTATCTGTCTATCTATCTATCTATCTATCCATCGATCCATCGATCTATCGATCTATCGATCTATCGATCTACCTATTTACCTATCTACCTATCTACCTATCTACCTATCTACCTATCTACCTATCTATCTATCTATCTGTCTTTCATCGATCTATCGATCTATCGATCTATCTACCTATCTACCTATCTATCTATCTATCCATCCATCTATCCATCTATCTTTCTATCTTTCTATCTATCTATCTATCTAGCTATCTATCTATCTACCTTATCTATCTATCTATATATTTAATTTATCTATCTAATCTATCTATCTTTCTATCTATCTATCTATCTACCTATCTATCTATCTATCCATCTATCTATCTATCGATCTATCTATCTACCTATCTAATTCACCTATCTATCTATCTATCTATCGATCTATCTATCTATCTATCTTTCTATCTATCTATCTATCTATCTGTTTAAATATCCCACAATATTTCCGTTAATGTATATATATTTTATTTACCCATGATGTATCCCCATTATATTTCATGAATCTGATTCCATAAACCCCTCAGAGTCCTTGCTTCCCAAACGACAGGTCTGCCAAGCGTCGCAAACGTCAGAAGCGCCACTTGACGCGATGCAGGAGTCAGGTGTTGGCTTAAGCAAAAGTACAGGTACCATAGCTATCCCACTTTGCGGGGGTAAAGTCCTTGAGTTTGTTAGTTTATCATGTAAAAATCCTGGGCTAATCACAACGTGGCTGGAAAATCCTCTAGTGATCAATGGAGGTTTTAATGGCATCATTTATCGTGGTGGACTTTGGATCCACAGGGATGGATGACTTTTCCAACGTGACGGTCATACGGCTGGTGGTTCAGGTGAAAACGACATCCTCTGCGTAAAGCAAGCGGGTATCGTCTGGTGCTCAGAGGAGGGGCATGGGGCTCACATGGGGGTTATTTAAATATTTATATGGTGAGGTCATGAGTGATGGCATTAACATATTAGTAAGGAAACGCGCGGATGGGCCATGATCCCGGGTACATATAAAAACAACGCATTGTTTTTGAATCGTTCTTGATTCTTGATTTTTAGAACACATTGAGCAAAATGCTGATGGCAAAACTTTGATGGTCAGGTGCTGTGCTGTGATGGCTCAGCAATTTCCAACATGTTGGACCTCTATGACACTATGAGATGCCGGCATTTGTTTAGCCGAACAAACTGAAAAAAATTACCGAAAGACCGATATTTTCAGTGGTCTGAAGAGGCATCGGCCGAGTGATCTTGCGAGCGGATGACATGTTGAGGGAAGCTGTTGCAAAGTAATGATTTTATCGCACAATTCATACGGTCACACAGATTTTGGTTACGAAAAAAATGCGGGAGACCTGCTAAGAGCCTGCCATCCCAGCATCCAAAATCCGATGATTGTTGATGGCTATGTGCGCAGCCAATGTTGATTCAAACATGGCAATGGGATCTGGGAAAATCATCCCAAAAATGGGTGAAAAAAATCGATTGCCATGTTACAATGTTTGATTTCCAGAGGATATTCATCCACATGTAAACCCCCTACATCCATCGACATATTGATAGTTTTTAAATGTTTTAAACATGAAACACAATTAGATAATTTATGGACTTCCCCATTCAGGCCCTCCTGTGCACGTGAACAGGCCCTGTGTGTGTGTGTGTTTAATCTTATTCTCCCTAATTAATATGATAGAAATATTCCCCAAACGGAATCCAGGTTGTAGATGGTTTTAGAGTGTATTGAGTAGGACCAATTCCTTTTTGGACCACTGTTTCACAATAATGCAATAATTACTGTAAAAGAAACAACTCTTGATGGTTAAGCAATTTTCAGCCTTTGAGTATGAACATATTATCAGTTTATGTCATTTCTATCTAATGGATATCAGATCAGTGGTTTTACACCTATGTTATATTGCACCTATCTTATATAATATACAAATAGAGAGAGAGAGAGGGAGGAGAGTCATATTTTGTTAACAACCCCACTAATGTTTGCTACTGATTAGTGTAGCCCCCCCTTCAAACAATTTGGGTATACTGAATAACTCATTTTTTTGGCTCCCCCCCTTCAACAGTTTTTAGGATAGTCAACTTAAGTAAGGATTTCAATTGAAATCAATTTGCTTTCAATTGATTTTCAATTGAAATCAGTTTACTTTCAATTGATTTCATGTTACTTTCAATGCAATTTACTTTCAATTGATTTCAATTTACTTTCAATTGGTTTTCAATTGATTTCAATTTATTTTCAATTGATTTTCCTTTAAAATCCAAAAAAATCAACCCAACAGTTTTTGTGCACAATAGAGTACCAGCCAAACAATTATATTATTGAGTATCTGTGCCACTCATGGGGTACCCCCTTGAAAAATTGTCTGGATGCTGTTTTTAATAAGGGTTTAATAAGGCATCTAATTATTTGGAAAACCTTGCATTCTAAGCCTTTACCATGGCTATGGCTTTTTAAAGTAAATGGACCAGCTTTACCCAAAGAAAGGTGAATAAAAGGTTTTGGTTTTTTTCACCCCAAAAGTTTTTGCGCACAATAGAGTACCATCCAAACAATTATTTTATTGAGTATCTTGGCCACTCATGGGGTACCCCCTTGAAAAATTGTCTGGATGCTGTTTTTAATAAGGGTTTAATAAGGCATCTAATAATTTGGAAAACCTTGCATTTTAAGGATTTAACATGGCTATGGCTTTCTAAACTAAAGGGACCAGCTCTACCCAAAGAAAGCTGGAGAAAGGGGTTTTGCTTTTTTTTTATCCCAAAAGTTGTTGTGCACAATAGAGTACCATCCAAACAAGTATATATATTATTGAGTATCTGGGCCACTCATAGGGTACCCCCTTGAAAAATTGTCTGGATGCTGTTTTCTTTAATAACGGTTTAATAAGGCATCTAATTATTTGGAAAACCTTGCGTTTTAAGGCTTTAACATGAATATGGTTTTCTAAAGTAAATTGGATCTAAAATAAAAAATAAAAAACTAAAAAAAAGAAAAACAATCTGAGAAACAAATCTCCCAATAGAGTTCCCCCCCACCTATTTTAGCGAACTGAATTATTTTTGAAAACAAACTCACATTAGGGTATCATGACACTAATCGGTCGCTAACTTTATCTCATTTAAGAACACCCCCCAGCTTGAAACAAAAATGGGCACTACCTTGAGGCGCTGCCATCGTTGCACGATGTCTTGAAGGGCAATAGGAAGGCAAGCCGGCTGGCCTCATCGGTGGTTTGAACTGGTTAATTTGTATCTGTTAATTTAAGGCTGGACAAAATGTTAAGGACTTGAGTTAAGGAGGGGACTCCAGTCCAAAAATTGCAGCTTGGTGGTGTACCCAGTCCTGATAGAAACTTAGAACCGGTCCGGTTCATAGATGTCCGTTCACATTGCTTGGTTGGATATGTGGACAAGCTGCCATTAGACATCCAACAAGCGAAGGATCCCAAATAGACGTTTCTATGTTCAGCAAAAAACTTTTTTTGCATTGTTTAAAATCTATTGTTGGTTAAAGCGGCATGTTGGATGTACTGCAGGTCCGTATCCATACTTCTGTTTGCTTTATGTCTCTTTGTAATATATACACATATATTTATACTATAGTATTTATCATATATATATATATGTATAGATTTACACATATTTGTATTTACATAAATAATGCATTTAAACACAATATTATATATATACACATATTTATAGATTTACATACGTACACACGCACATGTATATATATATATATATGTATACGTACATATAGTGTATATACACAGTGGATAAGAAGAACCATGTATTTCACTAGAACCAACAAAACCTCATGTTGGATGGTTTCACTTGCAACCGCAATAAGAACGACATTGTCAGCACAAATATGGTTGTGTCTAATGTACATCCATATGTTTATATATTTATATGTATAGATCTTTTGAGGTATGTTTACATTGTTTTTAGTCATGTATACATACCTGATTTCAATATTTTACAATATTAATCAATATTATATATATACCTATATATATATATACACATACAAATCAACAAATTCATGTAGTGTCTGCATTATATACATCATGTTTTTCTGATTCCAGACATTGCGGTGTGGAGGCCATTGTGATTCCGTCTCTGAAGGAGGACGGCGTGTGTCAAATGAGGATGTCATGGGGATAAAACATGATAAAACGGGAGATAATTGAGTTCTACCATTTTTTTAACCATGGTTTGTGGGGGTTTGACATGGTTTAACGGTTTAATTTGACAACCATTTCTGTTTTGCATCATACAGAATTATGCAGATGATATATATATATATAATATACATGGATATAATGGATCATGATTTTCGCAATTGGGATTTTCAATCGCAATAGATCCAGCCGTACATTGTGAGGGAGTGTTTCGGGTATGATTCACGGGGTGAATTGCAAGTACCATCTCAGGTCTTTCACATCCATACTGTAGGATATTCACCTTCAGTGATACTGTTACCGACACCTTCAGAGCAACATTTTCAACATGAATTTCATCATCGAGCATCGAAGTGATCGAACTAGATGGACCCTGCAATGTCTATATATATATACACAGCGTTAAATGATCGATTTTTTTTCTGGTAACTCATGGTCATATTCCCATGATGTTCTCATGATATTTCCCTGTGTCACGTGTTATGATCACGACCATCCCTGGGTCCCACCAGCGCGCCTCCCAGCGCGAGCCTTGCGAGGCGCTGCAGCAGCAAAACGCCACAGACCAGGAGTGGTGAATTGCCAGATACAATTTGGGATACAAATCAACGGAAATGGATACATTTAGAATCATTTAGATATAGTGATGTACATATATATATATATATATACACGTAATCGAAGGAAGTTTAGAAGTCAAACTTCCGACAATATGGACAGATGAAAAGCAGAGTAGGGCAGAGGCGGCAGAGAGAAGAGAAAGATTAGAAGAGAGAAGAGTAGAAGAGAAAGAGTCAGAAGAAAGAAGATGCAGATGCGCGAAAAGGTAGGAAAGTCGCGAAACACTGTATTTTTCCAATGATTTGTGGCTCCGGAGGGTCGAAAAGTAGGCTCGCTAAAGCGGCGGGTGCGGAGCCAGCTGGCCAGATGAGAGATGAAAAAGTGCACGCCGTTGTGGCGCGAAGCACATTTGCAAGTCAAAATGTACAAAACACACCAGCTCCGGACCACTTTTGGCAGTTGAGATGTCGAAAAAGTGCACACCGTTGTGGCGCAAATCACAGAACACACCAGGTTCGGACCACTTTTGGAAGTTGCGATGTCCAAAAAGTGCACGCCGTTGTGGCGCGAAGCACATTTCCAAGTGAAAATGTACATAGCACACCAGCTCCGGACCACTTTTGGAAGTTGAGATGTCGAAAAAGTGCACGCCGTTGTGGCGCGAAGCACATTTCGAAGTCAAAATGTACAAAACACCACATGTTCGCGCCACTTTTGGAGGTTCAGATGTCGAAAAAGTGCACGCCGTTGTGGCGCGAAGCACATTTCGAAGTCAAAATGTTAAAAGCACTATAGGGTTTCGGACCACTTTTGGAGGTTCAGATGTCGCTTCGCTTCACTACACTACATTACACTACACTCCACTACACTGCACTACACTACACTACATTACAGTACACTACACGCCACTACGCTACACTACACTACCTTCCACTACACTTCACTACATTACACTCCACTACACTACAACTACAACTACGAATACACAACTACACTCCACTACACTAAATTACATTACACCACACTACATTACACTACACTACATGACACTACACTACACTACACTCCACTACACTACACTACATTACACTACACTACATTACACTGAATGACACTGCACCACAGATAGACAGGTCGACAGATAGACAGATAGATAGATAGATAGATAGGTAGGTAGATAGGTAGATGGGTAGATGGGTAGATGGGTAGATGGGTAGATGGGTAGATAGATACATAGAAGATAGGTTGGTAGGTGGGTAGATAGTCAGAGAAAGAGAGACAAAGAGAGGAGACCTCAAGCACCTTTCGGTCCATCAGTGGATTCGCTCTGCGATCCCTGATTCACAACAACCAATCTCTCCTATAGGTTTCCTATTTTTGAAACTTCCGCCACCGCCTTGTGCGGTACTACTGGTATACATATACATAATATACAATAATATACATATACATATGTGACCAATTTTAGTAGAGATGGGTTTGTTGGAAAGTGGTGGTATTGTTGAAGCAACAACAGTTATTTTGATGAACAAATGAGGATAGACCAATGGGATGTTATTTTTTTAAATATGTGTACACACCCACGTAGGTAAGATTTAGATTCATGATAAAATTCACAGTGGATGGCATTATAGTCCGTTAAGGGCAAGTTTTTGCCTGCGGTGTTGTTTTTAAATTATGTTGACAGAACAGGTCAAAATCAAGGCGAATGCTTTGTCAAGAGGTTGGTTTGGAGCATTTGTTTGGACACAATCAACAATTTATTTGAGAGCCGAGTAAGGCCATGAAGTGAGATTTTTGGGCCCAAGCGATAGACACACCCATGTGGACCGTTGAACCAATCAAAGTTGGTAGCCTAGAGTCCATTAAAAACTCAACAATAGCCGATACACCTTAAATATGCCATGTCCAATTAGAAAATGCGAAGCTCAAGTCCATTTGCTGGCAATCCACCTGTTGTTTTTGATCCAAGTGATATTTAGCTGTCGGACAGGTTGGATTCATTTTTGCCCTTCCATACTTTCCCTGGCTTTCAGCATTTTCTCCAGGAGTCAGCACCACTAGCAGCGACACCTGCTGCTCCAGCTGCTAGCCCTGCTATGTCCCAGAGCGCAGGCGAGGCTGGTATCGGATCGTGCAGTGTCTAATGTTTAAGCCATAGGATTATGGTCGATGATCCCAACTGACCAATATGTTTGTTCAGATGGATTGTGTCTTCCATAGTGAACCCTCTACCTAAGTCATCCTAAGTCGATCATGCCTGTTTGAAGATACAGTTGATGGTATAATTGCCACTTTGAGAAAACCTGATGGCTGTGACAGCGCTAAATACGAAAGGTACAAAAAGTTTGGATCTCGTGCCAGAAACAGCTGTGCCTAGCAAACCATCGAGGATGAACATGGGCATGTCGAACGTCTGGCGTCTGGATTAAATATCTTTGATGCGTGTTGATTCAAAAAAGGGAGAGCGATCCCTACTTTAATTGTTTAAGATTGTTCCAGGGGTGCTTCAGTCACCAACTACCTCAACTTTTGAATTTGTATGGATCTCTATCATGCTTCGGTAAAGACCTATATACTGGTACATGGAGAAATCTGTTGGTGATGTTTTCCGTCAAAATTCCCAGGGTACCCTGCTGAAAACCAACATTTAAAGGGAATCATTCTCGCATCGACTTGGACTTGCCCATCCTGGAGCACCGGGCAACGCACAGAGGCTGAAGGGAAACGTGAAGCGTGATGGTGTTTGACAAGCGGCCTGGATTGGCAAGGAGATGCTAGACCGGAAGCTGGAGGCCATGGATGTCATTGGATGTCCAGGACGTCAAAGAGCAGCTTGTTTCGCCCAAAAACTGGAACAGCATGATGCCCGCCTGCAGGCTTTGCAGGGCCATCAGCGGAAGCCTCATTGTCATGAGAAGACGACCAGAGTTAAACGTCAAAAGTATTGGGATTTGGGGTTTTGTGATTGAAGAGACCCCCGAGTCATGAATGGATCCAATACTACCCAAAGGTTTCGTTTGGGGGGGTTTACTGCTCATATTAGGCTATATCATCTATATTGATCACTATGTCAATGTGATAAATGAGAAGAATCCTAAATCTCCTCCAAGTTTGATGTGTATCCCCCCATGTATTATCATACTAGTTTGATAAGCTTTACTCAGAACGTGCGCTTTCCTGGATTCCTTCCAGGCGAAGCATCGAGTGGGAGCCGCCCGGTGAACCGCGGAGTGTGTTATGATGTCGGGCAGCTCTGGGGTGAGATTCCGAGTGTCCCACTTGGCCATCGTGTGGTTGGGAAACAACCTTTGAACCTTCAGGGAATACTCCTATCCCCCTATTAAACACCCTCATTCTATGGTCCCAATTCTGTGGACATTCCCTGACTAAACCATGGTAAACCTGGGGGATGGGAATCGTTTTTCAAAGTTTGAATCGTTTTTCATGGCCAGCTGAGCCACCTGGTCTTGCTGCGTCTGAGAGATCGGGCTCTGCTTGTCCCAAAATTGGATAACTCAAATGTTAACGGCTTTATCTTAAAATAGGGTGCCCTAAAAACCATTAAAAACCCAGCCCGTTGTTTTTCTGGACATTTTACCATGGTGTTTCATGGATTTTTTTTCTTGCGGCTGGAGGGTACACACCATTTTCAGGCACTCCCCCATGTATGGCCATGATTAATTAGCCGATTAACCACTAGATGTTGACATAGCCGATTAGTTCAGAGAAAGCCTGGTCGTGTAGAATTAAAAACTCCCAAAATGATGAATTTCAATATCAGACTATATCAGACTGATTATCAGACTCATCTCATGATGTATCATGATCATTCATGATCTAAAACCAGCTCAAGCGTTTTCTTTTGGGGAAACGCTACTTTCTTTGAAAAAAATAGTGGAAAACTGGATCTCTTCAAGGCTGGAAGCGCTACGTTTTTGCAATGATTTCCCTGCTGAACATTTACAATGGTAACTTCCATGGTTGTATTTTATTCAACTATATATATATATGTATAGTAAGTTTCCAACAGTTAGAATATGTTTTACTGATATTTACGTATATGGTTTTATTCTAGCTGCGAGGGGTCTGTTGGAACCCCACTATACATAGTTCCACAATTGAGACTTGTTTGCCACAGAAAGAAATGGCCGGACAACCCTGGTTGCGTCCCTGTAGTTGATCATGATTGCTGGCTTTGCCCTTTACCCAGTCCGAGTCTCTTCGGTTTCACTATAGCTCTTGTCGTTAGATATCATGTTATACACATATTACAAGTCTATATGAATTATAACGACCCCACTGCGACCTGACTGGAATGATGGTTAATAGAGGTAACTCTCCCAAAATGACCTAACTGCTCAGCTTGCTAAAATATCGTAATTCAGCCATTAGATATTGCAATTCAGCCACAAGCACCACACGGGTTATGGACAGAGATCAGGGAAGAGGAGATATCAGGAGGGTTTGCAAAATGTTGTTTTGATTTGATGATCCCACGTGACTACTGCTGCAATCAAACCATGATTTCTCAATATGCAAAAAATGACCTAACGTTTATTAACTTTGCAGGTGTGTGAATAATTCAAATATGCATGAGGTATAATGGAATATATATATATATACATATATATATATATTATACATAATATAATCTAATATAGTATAATATGATATAACATTATATAAAATGATATGTTGTAATATAACATGATAGAATGTAATGTAATGATAATATGATTTAATATAATATGACATGTATAATAATAATAATATTAATAATAATAATAATATATATGTATGTATAATAAAAATAAATAAATTATATATATATATATTACAAATGATACATATATATATAGGTGCTGTTCACAGGAGATTGATGATAGACGCAATGAGCGACCACATGGCCGTCTGATCTCAAGGTCCCTGACTTCAACTGTTGTGCCATGGACTTTAACGGTTGGGTTCTTGCTTCGGTATCATTTGCTGGGGGTTGGATTGCCCATTCATCCTTTTCGATCTCTCCCCCTTTGGAATCAAAACAGACATCCTGTTTGTGTGACTGCCATTGCAACGGGCCAGCCATCAATCCAAGTCCTCAAACAGTTGGATATCCCTTGGTGCTATCAGTCGTGATTGGATTGATCATACTTGGACTTTTGATTAGCAATTTTGCCCTAGTTTGCAAAGTGTCGTTCCGTGACGGATCCACGGGCCTGGAGCGGGAGATTCATTTGAACGTGAAAGGCAAATCCAAGGGGGTCTTTGGTGCCTCCAGGGGATTAGCTATTACCAACTAGCGGCTAGATGAGCTTTCAACCTGGACAAGTGGTTTATCACAATTACGGCGAGATTCCTCCAGTAGTACATACCCGACTGATTCTAGGCCAGATATCTGACCTAGAGTACCTGGTTTTGACTCCCGATGGAGATTGCTATGCAGAGATTTGTGACGCGAGCAACCCTGATTTGACAGAGTTCTTTGTAGGCCCTGATGATGGGTCCATCCCCCCTGGGGTGGTACCTGGCGCTGTTTACGGTTTTGCGCCCATGACAGTTGTTGAGCTGAATAGAACTTTGGCGAATGGTCGGCGGGAAGCTGCTGCTGAGCGAGGTCGACGAGGCCTCCCTGATCCAGTGCAGGCTGCTGCTGGAAGTCATAGGGTATGGGTGCTGGCTGAGATGGTTGAAGGTCACAAGATTGGTGAACAAGTTGCGCCGCCAGTAGGTCATGCCCGTGACGGTGTCTGGGGTTTGATGCAGATGTCTGACTCCGGAAATGCCACCCGTCCTGTACTCATCCATCTTCTCCTGGTAGACGAGATTCCTGCATTCTGTGAGAAGCGTATTCAATTAGCTCGTTCTTCAGTGGCTGCTGAGGGCGAGGACACCCATGCAGGTGAAGATGCTCGGACCCTGGAAGTCAGATATGGTGCATCAGGCGAGAGGCAGAGGAACTTCAAGGAGACTGTGTCCGAGCTCCAGCAGGTTGAGTTTGATGATTGGCCACTGGAGCCAAGGACTTCGTTGTCTTACTTGAAGGCAGTGGCGCATGTTGCTGAGTCAGCTTTTGGCCAGCATCTCAGCTGGATTCAACAAAGTCGAATCCCGGAGAACGATCGTGTGGTGTACGAGAACGAGGTGCTTTCGCGTGCGCTTGATTTGGCCATTACTTATGACAACCTCAACGTTGTGAACTTGGCCAGTTTTGAACTCCTGATTCGACGAAAACAGTTGCTGGCGGAAGCATACTCGTATGGAGGATCGACGCCCTCCTATGCTGGTGCTGACCACTTTATGGGCACATCATATCGCCCTGGTGGAGCCATCGTAGTGCCAGAGCTGACAAAGCATGTTGCAGATCGAATGCATCAAGAAAGTCAGATCTTGAAGGAGAAGAGAAAACAGGGTGAACTCAAGGGTGCTGGAAAGGGAAAGGACAAACCGCCTCCTCCGAAGGCCAAGCCTGGGGGGGGAGGATCCAGTTAGAGAAGACTGCCGTTCTCCTTGGGCTGGGGAGGGCGGGTTCGGTTTTACAGCCCTACTGCATGACTAGAGGCGTGCGCAGCCGGATTTTTCATGAACCTGGTGCTTCAGATTCAAGGCATCGTGATCTATTTCCACTGCCCTCCTTGAAGGAGGACTCTGGGGTACGGGGAAGTGTGTCTCATGCTGTACGACGAAGAATTCACCGACGCAACTTCAATGTGAAGCGTGTCAACCTGGCCATTTCTAGTTTGAATTCACTTTTTTATGGGGGTGAAGGTCGTTTCAAACCCTGGTGTGCTGATGATCTGAGCAGTTTGCCGCATTGCCAGAGGGAATCTCTTGGCGCTATCATTCAGAGCATCAAGGCTTTTGGAAGCCCACCTGCCAATGCAAGCCGTTCCGGAGCCCTGCAGGCGCTTCGAACTATCAGTGATGGATACAGTGATCCTGAACCTGGTGTAGGGTCCGTATGTAGCATGGTGCTCCACCAATTGTCACTGCCGTCAGGTGGAGTGGCTGGAGTTGATCTAGCATCGGCCCTGGATGAGCCACTACGCAGCATTGTTTGCAACTTTGAGGACTGGATGATGGTGGAAGGGGATCGTTGGGCAGAAGTAGCTGATATCGCTGGATCTGTTCGTACATACAATGACCCCTCCCTTCACGATCATGTTAAGTATCTCAAGTTTCTTAAGCATTTGCATCAGTGTGGTATCCTGGGGCTGGTGGATCATTGTCGTGGTAGAGTTGGAGCTTTTACTGTCACTAAGAAACCCAAGTTTGTTGATGGCAACCGCATTGATCGACAACGGCTCATATTAGACTGCCGAGCTGTCAACTATTTGTTCAAGGACCCTCCTCACACGAGATTGGGATCTTTGGCTGCTTTGACCGAGCTTGAGCTACCTTGCGATGAGAAGATGTTCATTGCAGGCGCTGATATCCAAGATTGCTTTTATGCAGCCAAACTACCATCCGGTATGGAGGAATGTTTTTGCTTACACCGTGATCTCACAAGACAGGAAGCTGCAGATGTATTTGGTGATGACTTTTCCGGCTTTTCCCACTTGGAAAGATTTATTCCATGTATCACTGTGTTGCCAATGGGTTTTTCATGGAGCTTTTATATAATCCAGCAGTTGCATGAGCAAGCAAGTTTGCGTGCACTGGGTATTACCAATGACCAACTCATCAAAGATGGCAACCCCCCGCCTTCCTTCGGCAAGGGCGGAGTCCTAGCGATGCCTTACTGCAACAATGTTCACTGCATTGCAACATCGCGGGAGGAGGCTGACAGGGGAAAGGGTCTTATCAAGGACGAGCTGGAATCCATGGGTTTTAGTCTTCATGAAGAGGACAGTGCCAGTTCATATTTCCAGACATTGGGTGGCATAGTGGATGGGGAGGCTGGTGTAGTTGCGCCTACCCGGAACAGAGCTTGGAATTGTATTTTGGCTTTTGAACATTTGTTGGATAACAAAGTTTCTTGCAAGCTTGTGCAACAGCTTATTGGGCATTCAATCGTTATTTTTGTGTTGAACAGGGCTGGCATGTCAATTTTTCGTCACTTATATGATTTTGTCCAGAGTGATTGCGCACCGCGAAAGCTGACAGCTTGTGAGCAAGATGAAGTCAAGGTATTTATAGGGCTCGTTCCGTTACTATATGGTAATATGCGTTTGGAGTGGTCGTCAACTGTCACTGTTACTGATGCAAGTCCTATTGGTTATGGATTGTGCGAGAGAGAGCTTGATGCAAGCCAAGTGGGCGAGATGGGACGGTGGCAGGAAAGATGGCGTTTCAAGCATCTGGATCCCGAGTCTTGGAAGCCTCGCGAGAGGATACAAGGACGGGATGTGTTGAACGATTTGCGCACAGCCCGGGCATTTCCTTGTTTTCCAAATTTGGATTCACTGTATCAGGTTGATGGTAATTTCCCTGAGGTCCCTTTAGATGTCATGAAGGCAGATAAGTGGAAGACAGTACTCATGGGAAGATGGCGCGATACAACTGAGCATATTACTATTAAAGAGGGTCGAGCTTTGGTCATTGCAGCACGTCGATTGACACGAAACAGTAGGTCACGGGGAAAGCGGCATTTGTTTTTCGTTGACAACTTGGCATTGGCTATGAGTAGTTGCAAAGGTAGGGCTTCAAACTATTCCATGTTGAGAATCATGCAGCAGCTTGGTGCTCTAAGTCTAGCGGGTGGTTTTGTCATTCGACTTCGTTGGGTGGCGTCGGAGTTCAACCCAGCGGATGGCCCCTCAAGGGGGCAGGTGCGCCCGGGCACTTATCAAGCCCCCTCATCTCAAGCAGATGGGCGTGCCTCATTCTTCACGAAATCTTCGAGGAGTGAGCCAGAATCAGAATGCAGTGAAGAAAGTGGCCAGGCTGAAACTGAACTGCCCACACATGAAAGTGACAGAGAGGAAAGTGATAGAAAAGAAAAGGGTGATCAAGCAGCCAGGGTCTTTGAAGAGGCCTCAAGCCAAAAGAGTTTTGGAAAGCCGACTGGCAGATCAGCCGGAGATAGGCAAGCTGGCGAGATCAAACAAGTTGACAGTGTTGGAGAGGCGATCGGTGAGTGCAAATATCGAGGAGCAGTACAGAAATTACTATCAGAAGTTTCTGAGTTTCTGCCAGGCACAAGATCTCGATTTGCCACCATCTCCAAGCACAGATGCAAACCTGAGCGATTTCATGGATGTGTTGTTCTTCGAGGGGAAGCCCATGAACGAAGGGGAGAAGATCTTAGCGAGCGTGGAGTTCCATCACAGCTGCCTCAAAGGAAGGCTTGTCAGGGCCCGAAAAGCTCTGCGTGGGTGGCGCAAAGAATGCCCGCCCGAGAGTCGAATTCCTCTGCCGAAGCTGGTGGCCTATGGCATGTGCATGATTCTGTACGCCATGGGTCTCAAACTCCATGCCCTGAAGCTCATCTTGGACTTCGACACATACATGAGGCCGGGAGAGAGCTTGGACCTGCTCAAGAAACACTTGGTCAAGCCGGTTTCCAATGCTGGACTCCAGTATCGTTGGTATGCGGTGGTGATCAGAGATTTCGACGAGTTGCGGCCCGACAAAGTGGGGGTGTTCGACAACAGTGTCCCACTAAACAGCAGGGAGCGGAAATGGATTGGTCCAGTCCTCCATGCTCACACCAAGACTCTTCCCAGCAACGATTCAAAGATTTTCCCATTCACTGCGAAGGAGTATGGGAGAGAATTCACCAAGGCGGGAGAGCTGCTGGGACTCAAAGGGCTACACCCTTACCAACTTCGTCATGGCGGAGCAGCAGACGATCTGAACTCGAAGGAGAGAGATCACCAGGGCGTCAAAGCCAGGGGCCGGTGGCAGACGGATCAATCCGTCCGCCGTTACACCAAGGTGGGAAAGATTCAGCAAATCTTGAACCAGCTCTCACGACCAAACATGGAGTTTTGTCGTTGGTCACACCGAAACCTCGAGAAAGTGTTTCACGGTCTCCTCGCCGCAAGGATGAACTAGATCCTGTGCTCACGGATGTCTTCACATGTAGATCAAAACCACACACCTTTGCGTTGGAGATCTTCGCCGGCATTGCGCGAATTTCGTCAGCTTTGTGCAAGTCAGGTATCACCACATTCCCTGTTGATATTTGCATGTTTCCTGACCATGATGTGTTACATAAACATATTGAATATCGCATCAGCAATTGGATCAGAGCAGGTCGTATCAGTTTTGTATGGATAGGGATGCCTTGCACAACTTTTTCACCTGCTCGAAAACATGATGGCCTAGGACCAGGCCCTTTGAGAGATTCAATGCACCTTTGGGGGCTGAACTGCCTAAATCGCAGAGATCGCAAAAAGCTGGGGATTGGCAATGCGCTTTTTCACTTTACCATGAGAATTTTACGATTGTGTGAGCACTTTGCAATTCCCTATGCTTTGGAAAATCCTCGGACAAGCATGCTTTGGGAGATGAAACCTTTGCGAACATTCTGTGATCAGTTTTATCCACACTGGTGCCACTTCGATTTTTGTCAGTTTGGAGAGCGCTGGAAAAAACCCACGTCCATTCTCTATAATTTTTTGGATTTGAGCCCTGTCAACAAACAATGTGATACACACTATGGTTTTTGCTCACGCACTTCACGTCCACATGTCCGGCTTGCAGGAACAGACCATGACGGCGTCTTCTTGACCTTGCGAGCTCAACCTTACCCAGATGCCTTGGCTGTCTTGGTTAGCCAACAAGTGGCCAGGGCCTTGCAGGGTTAGGGGACAGATGTGATCACTGGAGGAAGCTGCAGCCTCTTAGAGGCTTTGTTTGGCCTTCCGTTCTCACTTTGAGAGGACATTCCGATAAGCGATTTGGAGCAAACCTTTGCTTCATCTGGCCAGGAAAATGGAGTGGATGCAGTCGTTTGAATCATAGGTGCTGTTCACAGGAGATTGATGATAGACGCAATGAGCGACCACATGGCCGTCTGATCTCAAGGTCCCTGACTTCAACTCCACCACCTACCCCAACCACCACACTTGGGGGACAGATGTGATCACTGGAGGAAGCTGCAGCCTCTTAGAGGCTTTGTTTGGCCTTCCGTTCTCACTTTGAGAGGACATTCCGATAAGCGATTTGGAGCAAACCTTTGCTTCATCTGGCCAGGAAAATGGAGTGGATGCAGTCGTTTGAATCATATATATACACTATAAATAATATATATATATATAATATGTGTATATCATAAATCATACATCATAATAACTAATATATATATATATAATGATATATGAATATACATATGACAATGTTTACCTGATTTGTCCCAGGACCTGGAGGACGATCCCCCGGAAGCGGCCGAAGACGGCGGCTCCAAGGCGCAGTCGTTTTTCTTGATTTATCTTAGTTAAACTATCGTTGATTTGGAACACTAATGTTGGTTATGATTATTGTTCCAAATATTAGTTGGTTATGTTTATTATAACTAATTATAACCAACATTGCTATTGTTATGGTTATAACTAATTTGGAACACTATAATTAGATGGTTATAATTATTTGTTATGCTGGTATGATCAATACGTGTATTGCTATATGACATCTGGTGAAGTATGATGAATATTGGGTATCTTATTTTGGTAGAACATTATTCAGAAAGTCTTTCTGATATCATCAGGCAGACATGAAGTGAAGAGGGTTGTGATTTTGATGCTAGCCATTTAGCCATGTGTAGAGTTCTTGAACGCATTTTGTTTCTGGAGTAGCCTATTCTGAATCGTACCCGAATGGGATCGTACACGGATGGTTCAAAGCTACATGGGGCGGATCCTTGGAGATGATTTTTCCTCGGCGCGGTGAAGATGCGGTGGTTATCCACCAGAAGGAACGGACCATCCACTGGAAATGGTGATTGATCAAGCTGCCATGGGGATGTAGGAGGGACCAAATTAGTCTATATACTATATATGTCATTTTAGTATCGAAACTCATGGTTTTGGGGATCCCCATTTCAAGAAACCCCCAAATAAATCTACTGCACTCTGTGAGTTTATGACTCACTCCAATGGGTCGTATAGCAGAGCACCCCAAGTCTCTCTCAGGTCTTGGCCAACATTCATGAAACGTCTTGATGTGAACAACGGTGTGTCAATCATTACTACGGTATGGTAGGGACTCATCGTTAGGGACCTGAAGAAACGATCTAATTGGCCCGGGGGTTGTCAGTCCGGGGGTTACCATCAGGTGAATATTCATGTTTGCTGCACTCATGGTACTTTGCGTTACCAGGTGACAGTGAAGACTGAAACAACCAAATCTGGAAAAACAAGCGTGTCTTTTCCAAAATGACGGCAAACAACAAAATGAAACCTTAGTCATGTTTGAAAGATATCAGTTGGGCATGTGTCGAATTAATCACTCCAAAGACCCGATGATGTTTTGGCATGGTTGATTTTTATTTTGTCGACATCTCCACAAGTGGTACTTCGGAAAACATTTACAGATATTTACAGATGCTTCAATCTGGTTTTTGTTTTTCATTGCAGAATTTTGTGGCCATTTTGGGTGTGGCTACACTTGGTTATAAAATTGTTATAAATGGTCCCAGAGGATTCCAAAGGGTAGACTGAAAATGTTTTGTTGGAGTTGGAGGCCATATGTGGCTTGAGTTTCGATGGGATGGGGGGTTCAACCACGGCTATGCCAGGCGGGCAACGAAAACGTGGAGCAGACTGAGGCTGCACCGCAGGTGCCACGGGTGCGCTTTTGATGGCTGGGGGAAATCTGGATGAATTCATCAGCAATTAATGGGATTATATAATATATAATATCTAATATATATATAATATTATATATTATTTATAATAGATTATGTATAATATATTATATAATCTATTATATAATGTATAATATATAATATATAATATATGATATATGATATATGATATATAATATAAAATATAATATATATAATATAATATATGATATATGATATTTAATTATATAATATTGATTAATATTGATTAATATTGATTAATATTGATTAATGTTGACTAATATTGATTAATATTGATTAGTATTGATTAATTTTGATTAACACTGATTAATATTGATTAATATTGATTAGCACTAGCACTGTATAACCAATTAACAACCAATGACATGAACATATCTGGATGAATTATAATGACCTCACGTCGTGACGTCACTGGAATGATGGGTAGGATCCGGGGAATCATCCCCATAGCTGGCCGTAAGGTTAGGGAATTATTATGATTCAGCCAGATACTCGTATTTTGTGGGGGGGTGCGTATCCCACATGTTTTGACAGATGGGATGTAACTTAACTAAAGTTTCTGATTAATAATGGCTGAACAATCGGTTCATGATGGGCCAATCCACATGTTCGGACGAATGCACACATTAAGGAGATCTGATCGAATTTGGCAGTATTTAATGTCATCGTTTAATACCTTTTGGTTGTCAAGTGAAGATTAAATCGGAAAAGGTGAGAGAAGAACTATAACGAAACATGTTTGAGAGTTTTAATGATTTGTCGAGTTGGGTTTCGGGTAGTATCGATGTGATGTTCCACTTCTACATGGCGTCCTGACGTCCATCAAAGCATCTACTCATGCCACACTCAGTAATTCTGGGTTATGGGAGATCTGTTCTTTTATACCCAGCAATATAAGTCCCACAGATCCAAGTACCGTACTTGGTAGACAAAAAGGCCGACATGATTTATTTCAATTACCACATATCATTGCACGTTCTTAGTGTATGGCAATCAACTTGAACCATGAAACGATGTAAATGAGACATGGGGTATGTACTGTTACTGTGTTGCTACTATGTATCATTGTATGAAAGATAAGTAACTAAGTATCGTGTTTTAATATTGTAAGGATGTGGGTATGGACCAAAATTCGAGACTGGTCAGACCATACCACATGTTTGCATTCACCATCCCAGGGTTTGGAATACAACATATTGATCATATTATGTTTTACAATAGTTCCTCTATGTTTATTGTTGAGTTTGGTGGTTTTTCAGGTCTGAAATTTTGACCGCCCAGATGATATCTGCGCATTGTAAATAGCAATAACATCAATACTAGATTTTTTTTACACCTGACATGTCATGTTTTTGTAAGTTGCTATAAGAATCTATAAGATGTTTATGTCTAAAAAATGCGCTAGGCAAAATGGTGATTCTCTAGTGGGTTTGGTGCCCATTCATGTTTATTGTTTGGGAAAGTCCCCGTATCAGAATCTAGCCACTATGTATAGCATTGCGAGGATTTTCTTTCAAGGCCATACATTTCACCAGTGATGATGGTTGCATATTGATCACCATGAAACATATCAGTTTTCATGCTATTTTGATGTAAAAAAAGGCCATGTCCCATCCATTTTCCCAGCTTAATGGCGAGGTAGATCAGGAGCGCTTGGCCGTGGCCCTGAAGCGTGTCACGAAGGACTCGCAACGGCGAGTGCCTTGGCGGCCAAGGGGCCTCGCCGGCGGACTGTCCAGCCCCGAAATCCTGGGGCTGGGAATTTCTGGTTGAAAAAGAAAGCATCTTGGGCAGATTCACAGATTTTTGTGCTATTTTTGGGGGGAAGAATGGCACTGGAAAACATGATCAACACATTTTTTTAACACATGATAAACTTATTATCATGTTGATTGCGGTGGAGATTTATCATGATTTATCCCATAGGGATGGCTTCCCACTCCGGGCGACCCAAAAAAATGATCTGCTGGTTTGTCCTGAGGTAAAGGCTGCACAGGCCGGGGGCGCCGCAACTCTTCCCACTCCGGGATGGTAGAAATGCCATTGGCCAAACATCCCAAATCATGGAGATTCCAGGGTCAGATTTACAGAACTGCACATGTTCAGTTCCATTCCCAGATTTCAATGGTTCCTAGCTTTGTTTCAAGAGAGAAAGATCACCGTCAGGCGGTGTTCAAAACTTGATCCTCTACGGAGGAAATAAAATGAAATAAACCTTGGAGTTCCCCTTTTGATCGACGGATGCTGGTTGAAACCAAGTCATTTCTGTTGGATTTGGCTGGTGATATCTCAATTTGAGTGATGGTCGCATGTTTGCTGGACTATTCCGGTAGCAGAGGTTAGATCTCATGTCAAAACATGGTGTATGGATGTGTACGGGCTACGGCCATAAACTGTGATGAATGTAATTCCCAATCAAAGGACATGGCAAAAGCCCGAAACTGGATGACCAGCCCCAAAATCGGGCAAATAGTTACCATATATGTTACCTAGCTTTTCACCAGGCTGAATATGCTGCGGGCCAGGCCGCAAACGCACGCTCGGTGTTCATCACAAACCTGCCATTCAAGGTGCGATCGACCTGAGAGAATTTGTGAAATGATCCTCTGGTAATATAACATAGCCATGGAATTCCATGGCTATGGAAATCATGAGGTATATCATCTACAAATGCATCATGTTCCGTGGCTATGGTAAACTGATGTAATTAAACTGCCGGAGGGTATATTCAAGGTCAAGTTGCATCTATGGGCCCATGGGTATGTGAGCGACGGCTCTTATTTGCGTATATGGAAAGTAGTATTCGGACGTACCCCGGTTTGTCAAAAATATCATATTTAGCTTGTAAAACGAGGTAGGAACACCCCGAGAACGAGGTAGGCAAAAACGTTACGGGACTGGAGAACGAGGTAGGAACACCCCGTCAATTGCGTTATGTAACAAATATGGTCCGCGGCTCATGTATACTTCTCGCGACCATGCATGGGAAGGGAAGGTTTTGATATGGTACGAGCATTACAAGTGTCCTTTTGTGTCCCTTTTTGTTTTTTTTTGGTGCGTGTACTGCTATAATGTGCTACAATTATACATTGAAATAATTGCAGATGCACGGCTATGAATGCACAGCTATTTGGAGACCAATCGAGCCTTATTCCGGACGGGCCTCCGAAAGAAGGATCAATACGGTTCTAGGTACGTGTTTGTGTGTGTGTGTGCATCTAGACAAGTGACAATCTTTCCCAAACCTGATCTCTCGGGTCATTGAAAAGATGCAGTATCAAAACATGAGTTGGGTACTGACCAAAATGACCAAAATCTGTGGCCTTTGGCTGCAACTAATGTAGTGAACCCTACATAGGGAGCCAAGGAGTCCCGTTACCCTAAACCATCAGTGGTTAGCCGGGTCTCAAGACTCAAACTCGCACAGGGGTTTATTGGAAGATATGGTTATCACAAGTTTTTTCACCATTGTCATATCCATTTTCCCTATAAAACAGTCATACAATATCATAAAATGATGGTGTATCCCTTTTACAGACGCTCCCATATGTCATGCGTTGGGGACATATATCCCATTATATCCCCATTAAATTCCCATTAAACCACTGCATTCGTTGGTCAAATGCTCATGTTTAATGGTTAAACCACCATCCAACATTGTTCACCATGTTTCCTAATTTTCAGAGTCAAATCATGTTAAATCAAAAAAAAACATTAAAACATTAAACATAAACTATGTTTTTTGATGATTCCCTAATTTCCCTAAGATATCACCCCATTTTTCATGCCAGGCCAAGGAGGATGAGATCCGTGACTGGCTGGGCCCGGCCGGCGACATCAAGGGCTTACGGCTCAACCGCGACAAGGCGGTGCCCAAGGGGGAAAATACCATCAGAAAACCATGGGAAAAGCCATACAAAACATAAAACCCATGGGAAAAGCCATGGGAAGAAAGGGAAAAGCCGCCACTTGAAGATCGACTGAGTTTGGATGATTTGTGTGGTATGTTGTGATGTATTTACTGATCTTATAGTCATTTTTTGGAGGTATCCTATTTTTGACCAACACCGAAAGCAAAAAAATACTCTGAGATTCAACATGAATAACCTGTATTAATGATGAATAGGATTTAGCAATTATGGAAGCAGCAATGATCATGATTCAGCCGGCAACCCGGTGGAAGTGTGTTCTTTTCCATCCTGAGGTGATGATCCCAAATGTCAAACGCATTCTTCGGGCTGGTTGAAACCACTAAGTTAGTATATGAATGAGAAACAATTTATGTTCTTACAGTAACTGATTCAAGAACTATGTGTTGTTGTTTGTTCAGAACTGCCCCAAATCACCATAAATAGGTGGTATAAACCATTCCCAAATGGGTTGTTTATGACATTGTTTTACCCACGTTAGATGGGATCTTTTTTACCAACATTAACCACTATTAACGTTTTTGAAATGACGGGTCTCTCTATGTGTCGCCCTTTCCCTCGACGGGCGAAAAATGTTTTGCCGAGCGACTCGGCGTGAAGCGAATTCTGTGGAGCTTTTGGGATTCCCATTAGAAGCGGCAGTTGAACCAGTGGTGCAGGCTTATGTTGGTTAGTTTGATAAGTTATATATTGATAATATATATAATATATATAATATATATAATATATATAATATATATAATATATATAATATATAATATATATAATATATAATATATATAATATATTAATATATATAATATATATAATATATATAATATAATATATATATATAATATATAATATAATATATATAATATATAATATAATATATATATATAATATATAATATATAATATATGTATATATGTATTATATTTATCGATATAATTATATATATATCTATAATTGATATGTATATATATATTGATTATATGTTCTTAATTCGTGATTTTTCCCGAAAAACCGATGTCCCCCTGCTGCCAGGCTACAACCAAGGCCTTGGGCTATGGTCATGTACAGCAGCTTGATGCGGCAAAGTTACTGTACGTATGTGCCATTTGAATTGCCAATGACCATCAATTACCATGATTTTCGGGGAGCGTCCCTAGTTTATCAACCAGGCTTTATTGATCTGGGCTTGACATTATATAGCAATCATTCAAGATCATTGCCTGCACAAATGCTTTGAGCATCAGCAGACTGGCAAATATTTTCTTGTAGGTAACAATGCCTCACTTGCTCCACTTCCATAGTCAGTGATGAACAAACATGATTTCCCTACAGAGTCATTGCATATGTCACTATTCTCAATGGAACGTACCAATAGAATGACACATAATCTATCTCACAAGTACATATACGCGTGCATCTACTGCATATGTATATATGAATTTTACACTGGTGTACTCACATACACATGCTGATTGTGTTTTACTTACTTACTAGTTCTATTACTGTACCATGTAATTTTGACACCACAATTTATATCGTTGTTTATAGATTTAAACATGTGTTGTTTGCACTTCAACAACAACAACAACAACAACAACAACAATAACAACAACAACAACAACAACAACAAGAACAAGAACAAGAACAAGAACAAGAACAACAACAACAACAACAACCACAACCACAACCACAACCACAACCACAACCACAACCACAACCACAACCACCACCACGACGACAACGACAACAACAACAACAACAGCAACAACAAGGCACCACATTGTTGGTTGTGCTCTTACCTACCCATGCCCCTTGCCTCACGTTCTTTGTCGTTCAAACCAAGTATTTGTTGGCGTTCCCTTTTTCACCAGCATGTACTAGATTGCAAGGTTATGCCTTGCCGGCGATAAGGGGACTAGCTCTAGACTCTAGACTGGTTGTTAGTGGTTGTATGCAGTTTCAGCCAGCATTGGTACAGCGGAACCGTTGGATAAAACCGAATAATCAAAAGAATCCAGCGTAACCTGGGGTTCTTAAGTGCTCTATGTGAACAAATATGGGGATTGTGAGCGAGGGTACCCTCAAGTTCTTAAGGGATTAGTTCTTAATCATTAGGTCCGGGTAGCCCGCCCAGATCGGAAGATTGTCATAAAATATCCGAAACAAACATGTACATGTTGGAGATGTGTCCACATTTTGAGGCGTATGTTGTTGCATAGAGCTTAATTAGGCTAGCGGACTTTGTTTTTGTTGAGTGAATCCTTAATCCGCATGTTTGCTGGTGAAATGACAGGTGATTTTTCATGATTTGATTATACCCACTGAACCAAGCCGATCCTTGAATTTGATGAAGAATCCCAGGTGTTTCGGATGAAATCCTCCAATTCCGCCCTGGACTTCGACCGAGGTTTGCCTCGCCTGAAGCTGCCGAGAATGCTGTGAAGCAGTGCCTCCGCTGCCGGTTAGGAGACAGCTAAGGAATGCTAAGGAGCTATTGGTATCCATATTCCCTACAAAATCCTATGAAATGCAGAGCCAAAAAGGAGCTATGAATTGGGTTTCCCAACCACATGAGAGTGATGTCACAATCATACACTATCATCATTGGTATTATTCCGCGCAAACCCCCCAGATCGCCCACACAACTTCTTATGGATTTTGAAGGAATATAAATTCCGACCCCCGTTAAACTTTACATTCAATTGGGAAGATCAACAAGGGGATTAGGAATATAAATTCCCACCCCCGTGAAACTTTACATTCAATTGGGAAGATCAACAAGGGGATTAGGAATATAAATTCCCACCCCCGTTGAACATTACATTAAATTGGGAAGATCAACAAGAGGATTAGAAATATAAATTCCCAACCCCGTTAAACTTTACATTAAATTGGGAAGATCAACAAGGGGGTTAGGAATATGATGATGAAGATGAATATGAAAATTATGATGATGATGATGATGATGATGATGATGATGTTGTTGATGATGTTGTTGTTGTAACATTGAACGCACAGGTAGCTAAGCTGTGCGTTGCAAGATGAAAGCCATGATCACGGACATGTGCATTTTGTCCCACACAACACCGTGTTTTTTGATGTTCGGACATGTCGTCTGCGTCGGCGCGGGCAAACTGAGGGGTTTGCCCGTATTATTACTACTATACTGGACTTTATGTGATGATATTCTGTGATAATCGATCAATATAATGACAATTTATATATATATATATCAATGTTATTGGTAAATATTGGTAACATAATAATACATCTTCAAGACATAGTCATATATATATATTCTAAGTATTATCATTGTTTGCCACCCATCGGTTCCCCAGGTGCGACAAGATCGAGTTGCACGGGCGGGTGATGCGTGTGGCGCCGATTTCAGACGAGAAGTGCGATGACCCAGGGACGTCATGGCAGTCGCAGGTTGGGGATACTCAAATATACTTCCAAATATTCCGACAAAGTTCAATTATTTCACCATCATGAACTTGGGAAGTAGTTTTTTTCAGCGCAACTTGGTGGGACCCCAAAATGATGGGGAAGGAATTGTAAGGCCAGTAAACCTGGGGTTTCATGGGTATCTCAGTGACATTGCTTAGAGGTTTCAGAACCTCGAAGTTCTGGCAAGGTGCCAGTCGCTGGCAAATCCCCGAAGTCAAAGGAGGTTTATAGATGTTTATAGCTTGGAAAATCATCTACAAATGGTGAATTGTTCATTGCCATGTGGCCATGTTTAATTAATTACCGGAGGGTAAATCAGAGTAATTAATCAAATTCAACCATGCATGGACATGGTAAGTTGTGCAGGCCATAACTGGTTGGTGGTTTCAACCATTTTTATTTTCCATAATATATGGGATAATCCTTCCCATTGACTAATATGTTTCAATATGGTTAAAACCACCAACCAGATAATATATCTGCGACAGATCCACCGCGATGTCGTGTTTGAAGGCGAACCTGTTGGACGGTACTCGCAGATGCTTTGGATGAATCAGGTCTTTCCTGCTGACGCTAAATGCCGCGGGTGCTGCCTGACCACCTTAAAGACTGCACGTTTGTTTGCGTCTGAAAGACCGAGCAGTGTTCTTGGAGTCAAAGCGTGAACTTGGCCTGGCTTCCTTGCACTGCATCCCCCGATCTGATTAAGTTCCCAGATTCATATGGGGATGGGTCAAAACCTATGAAATTACCATATGACTGGGGGAACCACCATCCATTCATCAGCTATTTTTGTGTAGGGTCCCAGGGTTTTGACCCAATGAAGATCTTCCAAGACTAAATCACGGATTCTTGGGAGGCGTCGAATATTCGGTGGAGTTGTTTGAGTCAAGCTGGGATGCTCCAAAATGGATCAACAAAGTATCGACTATCATGGTAATCGTGATGAATTGTCGGAATTGGATGCACAAGATTAACAATCAGTATACTCAACCATGATTCAAGATTTCTGATCCCCTGGGTTTTTATCTAGTGCAGATCTTTTTGGGATTTCCAGATGGCCGCATGACGTTCAAAATTACTTGGACTGTTTTCTGAAGCAATTGTGAAAGTGGAGCGGCCGAATGACCAGAATCGCATTCAAGAACATACGTTGTTTCACATTTTCCCAAGGTTTGAAAATTGTTGTGTTTTTCTTGTTCGTAATGCCAAGCTCAGTTGGTTTGTGGGGTCCTACTGTACTGCAGGTATTGATCTATGGCCAGAGCCCATGATGAATTCCATAATTCCATAATTCGTCATCGATTCTGGACTAATTGCTAGTGGATAATGGGAAAACATAGGTGTGTTCCCTAACCGTTTATATAATCATCCATGTGTCTTTGATTTAGTCACTGTATCTAAATCTATGGTTGGTTACTATTCACTACCCATTTGGATGGTCCTTGGGGCGTAGACGTGCCACAGGTTCCAGTTTGAGCTTCCGGAGGAAATCAAGGTGCCGGGCCCTGGGTTAGATACAATGGAAGAAATCCTGCACCAGTTGATAGGTGGTTTATCCCATTATTTAATATTATTTATATGGTTTCAAAGTTTCAACCATCCAAGGTGATGCAGGATTTCTTCCATCTTTTGCTATCAATGCTGAAATGTACGTTCACCAGCTAAAAATTAGCTACTTTTTTGACAGGTATCCAAGATTCGTGGCTTCCATATATTGTATAGATATGCATATGGATGAGTTGATAGTATGTTTATTGTGCCTAGTTTGGTTTAGCAGTTTAGCCATGTTTAGCCTACAACCACACCATATGCAGAAGTGTCACTGCCATGTAGCAAAACCATACAAACATAGCAAGGTATTTTCTGCATCTAACCCACCAGAGTGGCATTTTTGCTGCATCGCCCGGGAACTCAAATGGCTCCTAAAACGAGATGATTTGCAACCAGACATGGCCAATATTTCTTGGCTTCGGGAAATGAAGGTTTCCTAAATAATTTTACTTTTGGATTGTCCATGAGATAAACCATCCAGCTATTGGAGATCCCCCTATTTATGGAATCCCCCAAATGAATTTGTTCAAAATAGTGAACACTTGTTACCGTTCTTCATATGCCTCATCTCCATTTTGAAAAGGGTGGAGTATGGCCATCGGACTTCTGACAGATGACTTGGACCAGGGTTTGCTATCGAAAAGCCAGCGGCCTTGTTCAAGAATCAATGATGTAGCCTCTCATATACTGTACCCCAATCTATAATGATGGATACAGCAGACCAATGATCTTCCCTCCTATTGCCGTTTTGGGATATTTCGAGGTCCCATTTGAATCGGGCTCCAATTTGCCCTTCGATGGTAGAATGTCTCTCAGATTTGGCAGATTCGTACCCAAAACTGTCACCAAATCGGGGTTCTCGAAATTCGGAAACCCAAACTCTACAGACTCTACAGTTGTTTCAAACTTCAAAATCAGCCATCAGCCATCTAAACTTCATCAGCCATACTCACCGATCTAGAATGAAAATTGACCAGCTAAATATGGCCATGGTGACATTTGCAGCCGAGCTAAATATGGCCAGGAAGATCTTCGCAATCTCCTCAAGGAGGCCGTTGGGTGGTCGAGCCTGATGGGAAGTGGCTTTTCGATGGGAAGTGGAGCTTATTGCAGGGTAAACTACGATAGATGTGGAAATGAACATATGATTCCTACATGGTACCAGCCTAATTCAGCAGCCATTTGGGTTGATTGATTCTTTGTTTTTTCAATTCTGGGGGGATCCCCAAGTCACCATAGGATTCAATACTAAAAGGGTCGTTCATGACTTGGATGATTTGGGGGTGCCCCCATGACTTAGGAAAGCTCCAACTCCATCCAACTTACATCATTACTTGAGATTTCACATGCAAATATACACTAAAGTGATTAGTGATGTAACATGATGTAACAGTCTCTATATTATATGTATATAAATAAATAAATAAATATATATAATATACATATTTTGCAATCATATATACATACATATGTATATATATATAATGTCATCTTTGCAATGTTGAGGAGGAACTATTTAAAGAAACACCTATAAGATCCATAACATCTAGAAGTAAATGTATCATATCTCCTTTAAACAGCTAGCAGTTGGTATGTTTGGCACTGCTCATTTGCGTTTGTACCAGGCTTATGAAGGGAAGAACATCAGCACCATCAAGGCAACATTTGGTGGGCCATTAGGTTGGGTTGAGAACAGGTTTGGTGGTGGTTTAGGCATCAACAATTGGTGACTTTTTTATAGCCATCAAACATGGTGAACAATTGGGATTTAACCATGAAACATTGGGATTGGAGTTTAACCATGAAACATGGGGGAAAAGTGGTGGTTGAACGAAAAATTGGCTATATGTGAACTTAACCCATGAATATGTCATGGATTAATGGTGGTAGACTATGGAATATAATATCTTATAATATGGAATATATTTCACCAACTTGATAGATATTGTTATTTGTCTGAAAATGGTAGATTTATATAACCTCGAAAATTGTCATTATTTGTCATTATTCAAAAATTAATAATAATGATAAAGACAATGAGGACTACCACTGGGTGGAATGGGGTACCCTATTTGCTGTTGAACCCAAATGAACCAAGCAAAAAAATAAACCAAGTGGTAGAACCCACCATAAAAACCAACCAAGAAAGCATGTGATGGCTCTGTGAACCGGCAGCACATTATGGATCACTACGGCCTAGATGAACCAACAAAGGTTAGCAATTTTATCACCAAAGATGAACATCATAGGCACAGGTAACGATGATTTCTACAGCTTTACGGAACCCAAGAATTCCCAGGCGTTCAATCCAACAAATGGTGGACCAAAAGCCGTTTTCGTGAGTTTCACGTTCTGGAAATTATTAGAGATGGACATGGCATTGGACATGGCATTGTGAACATTGTATGATTCTAGGATATTCTAGGTCAACAGCACATCTCATATCTATTCATATCTCATATCTTAGATAGCCAACAAGCAACAATTTTGTTTTATCTTTCAGCACCAGGATGCCTGGCAGAAGAGGCATCCTGGACAGAAGCTGAACACCACCAAGCCTGGGCCACCCAGCAAGCAGGGCTCTGCTTGCAATAAATCATTGATGGTATATAGCCATGACATACCCTCTGGTTATTTAACATAGCCATGGAAAATGGCCCATTTATAGATGGCTTACTTATTAAAAATAGTGATTTTTTCCATGGCTATGTTAAATGATGATTCACCCTCTGGCAAGCTGATATAGATGATATAGATGATATAGACACGGAAACTTACTGTTAGATTACCAGGGTTTTCCGGCAAACGGTGGTATGGGTTAACTGCAAAAAGAAGTGGTATGGGTTTTCTGCAAATGGTGAAGAGTAGCCATGGCACGTTGACAGCAAACCTCATGAAGGGGTATTTTTTTTGGTTTTATGGATGAGGAATCTATTAAAGTTTTGATATGGACAATGTGTTTTTCTTACCAATTGTTTCTTTTTTCCGTACATTCTGATTTAGCGGGACTGTCTTCAACTGTTGTTCAACTGTTGTTCAACTGTTGTTCAACTGTTATTCAACTGTTGTATAGTCAGCTCCCCTTCGATAGGCGGCTTCGCAAAAAATCAACTCCCACTTCTTGCTCAGTATGTTGCTTCTTTTGTTGGTTGCATCTCAGGTATGTTAGTGTCCCCATGTTCCCTTGTTCCTCCATGATTGGCCAGGGAAATCTCCGCTTAGCTGTGCTCTGAAATTCGCTGTTTCTTTCATCAACTGTTTGAACCAATCTTTTAAACAAACTCATTTTGTGATGAATCTCCACTTGGATTAGGTGTCATCCTCGTGACAATTTTTATTGGCTCGCCCAGGTGGGGTTTCAAAAACTTCTCGACGGCCCTGAAGACCTTGGAAGGACTCGAAGCATGGGGAGATGGATAAGAATCCTCATAAGTGGAGGATAATGGGACTTATATAGTGTTTTAATATGTTTTAATGGGAATCATATCCTCTATAATCCACTATAATGGGAATCATATCCACTATAAATGGGACTTGGGATATAATCCACTTTAAATGGAGGTTTTAATGGGAACCTCATCCTGTGGTGGTGGATTATATTCATGTTTATGTTTATACCATATTCGAAACTTATCTAGATATGGATACAAACCTATGGATATAATACGGTATATACATGAAACACAATTCATTGGATATAGGAACAGTCTCGAATTGTAGGTAAGTGTTTGTTTTTGTTTTTGTGAACACAACCTTTACAAGTTGAGCCTATCAACAGTACCTAAAAAACAAGAATCCCAAGCAGCAAATTTCTTGAATTACCTTGCAAGGTAGAAACTCATCGTCGTGTCGGAACATAGTCAAGCAGCGTTTTTGCATGGGGCCAATGGAAAACCAAATATGATGACCTTCTATCCTGTTATTTGTCTATAGTTCCAAAGTTCGAAAGAAATGGCCAAGGAAAAACCTAAGACTTGGATGTTCCAAACTGTTAATTGTTGGGCGCACAGGAAACCGCAGTTTAGAATCGCGCAAGGCCCTGTAGCAACTGACAATCCCCCGCAGATGGGTACTGACAGTCTGCAACCCGATGTTGTTTTGATAGACGCCCCTTGTTGTGGAGGAATAACACGCCATGATTTGCTGGGTCAGATTGCCAGGAGTGACACTGGAGCATCACTTGGAAAAGACCCTGACCTTCCTCGCCTTCTTTGACGGATCTTCGAAGCACAAAGAGTTCTTGGAGGCCCGGGATCCGACAGACCTTGACCTGGTTTCTCGGAGGATCAAAAAACTGGGGGTAAAATTCCAAGACCGATTTTGGACGGAAGATGTTTTGTGTTTTTTTTTAAGGGTATTCAACTCCATCCGATTTTGGGGATTTAAGTACCCCAATTTTTATTTCACATTTCTAGCTAGATGCAGGCATCACCAACACATAAGATTTGGTGATATCGCCAATGATATATGGGGATGGGTCAAAACCCTGGTACCTAGTGAACCCCAAAATAGCTGGTAAATGGATGTTCATCCCACTAAAATGTATCTATAGGTATTGACCCATATCCATATTGGCATGATTGGTAAGTATCCATTACTGTCACCTGCTGATCCGCTTGCTCTTGGAAATTGTCACCAGCACCGCCATCAGTTTGCCTCTTGGAAATTTGACGTTGCCAGGTCCTGGTAAATATTGCTGCCATGCCCCATGCTTAACAAAAGACATTTCAGACTACATCCCCCTGCTTGATTGGTTTAAACATGTTTGGAACTTGTTTCAACTTTCTACTTTCAACCCTCTGAGAAGCTTACAATGTCTTGTCTGCGAGAATACGCTAAAATCAACTCCAATCCAATCTTATTGGTTACGGTACATCAACCCGCTTTATCAGCCACGTCTGGTGCAACCTCGGATGTGTGGTTTAGTAAGTTTAATGCAAGAATATGTTGCCCTTAACTGGGGAATATACAGTAGATACTACGAACCAACTATAATAAAACGTTGTTTTCAGGGTATCTAAGATTGGCAATGATATCAAGCTACTTTAGCACCTAGTTTTTCTTACACAAGTCGCGGTTTGGACAAGAGGCCAAAGCCAAGAAAGCCAGCCTCGGCCCTGCAACGCTGACGCCTGGGGAGGCGGGGAAGGACTGGTTTCAGGCTGCATTTTTGGTTATGTTATCTAATATAATATAGCCCATGACCCTTTGATAAACTGCAAAACAACTATGGAAAATCACCATGTTAAAGAGGTAAATCAACGAACTAAATGGCAATGTTGACTAGCAATGTCAAATTACCAGAAAGTATATCACTATACATATATATATATATCCCCATGATATCCCATATCAGGCCATTTGTAGATCACAACTAACAACCATACTTGGGGGTGCAGGTGTTGCAAGATAGTGGCTATAAACATGGTCTCATGCTGTTATGACACCCCATCAGGTGGGATATCCGACACTTCTGGCCATGTACCCTCTGGTAAATTAACATAGACCCTGGCAGTCATCGGGGTTGGAAGACTAGTGAAACCATTAAAAATGGGTGATAAAATCAGGGTCAACAAGTTTATTTACCAGAGGGTATATTGTATATATTATATGTATATTATATGTATATATATATATACATATAATCATATATATATACACACTTAATGTCTTAATAAAGTGGAACTTGACCCGACCCTCGTAGTCTACCCATCCTCGCAGCTTGCTAAGCGCGCCCCTTTCGTGGTGCATGAATCATGGGGAATGTGATGAGATTCATCTTGCTGTCACCAGGCAGCTCAGATCGAAATGTTTCGTACCGATTCGTACCATCAAAAGGGACTTAATATGGGTTAATGGGACTTAATATATCTTCATATGGACTTAATAACCATCAAAACTGATCACGAACACACAAATCAGGCATTTATTTTTTCATACTTCCGCAGTACCTTGTCATTCAGTTGTATTCAGATAGTGTTTTTTTTTGCCAAGTCGAAGCTATGGATATCTAAAACACAACATGAGGTCAAACCCAACAAGATCACCCGCGGATTCAGCGCCTGTCGGTCGCCAGTTCAGCATATTATGGGGGTTTCAATAATTTTCAATACCCCAATTGCCGACCTTTGGGGGGTTTCCATAGTCATGGGGGATCCCCAAAATGGTTGGTTTTTTTCATGGAAGATCCTATTAAAATATATTAAAATGATTTAAACTTGATGATTTAGGGCTAACCTCATGACTTTGGAAACCACATTGTCTCCTTGATCGTGTTTGTTTCACTTTGTTTCAGACCTTGCAGTGACATGACAGTCTTGATGCTGGCAGCCTTGCAGGCAAAGCGTGCAGCCGCAGAGGTGATAAAAACATCGTCGATTGGATCGATGGGATGAAGTCAATTGACATGTCAAGTCTTAGTATGACATAGTATACTGGTTGGTGGTTTGGAACATGAATTTTATGTTTCCATATATATATATATCGGGAATGTCATCATCCCAACTGACGAACTCATATTTTTCAATATGGTTGAAACCACCAACCAGTATGACTTCAAGGTGATTGGTGATTGGACTCAATTTGGCAATGAATTCTGAAACATGACACATATGTTACATTATGTTACATATATAATATCTGGGCAAATGATGGCACCCCAAATGTGCATCATTGGGTTGATGGAATTCGTTTAGAGGACAGCAGGTCGATCACTTGCTGTCCCGATGTGTCCATGGATTTTCTGGATACCCTGAGATGTATACATACTATATATAGAGAGTTTATGGGGATGTGTATATATATATAATAAACATACACATATTAATATCACATACATACAGACACACAATATATATATATACAAATATATATTTTGTTTAAACATATTGTTTCCATTTGTTTCCAGGAGATACATACTGTTTGATGGCCGTGAAGCCGGAAAAAAAAGGTCTAATCCGCGGGATGTCCATCGGTGACATGTGTTGAGATCAATGAACACAATCTCAATTTATTCACTACTGTCATGGCCATATCCTGAATATTGGTGCTTCTCCATATTGGGACTCCGCAAACCATCCCCTTCCTAAGAATAAGCTTCGAATCCCCCCCACGGAGAGGTGGTTGCAAAGTGGATTTTGATTTTGACCCAAACATAGTTTGGATACCAGGGGGATGCTGGCCAGCGTACCATTAGCCCTTGACGGGTTTTGTTGTGACTCTTCCACTTTGAGACAAACAAATGTGGGCAATATTGGTCGACAAGACGTTGTCGATATGACCAACTTCTGGACGAAACAAAGCATGATTAGCAAGCTTGATGCCAAGAGCCATGGAACATCTCGTATTGATTCATTGTTGATGACAATCATTTAACCAACAACGGACATTATAGAAAGTTCATTCGCCCAAGAAAATCCTGTCTAAACAACTCGTCATTGACACGGGACCTTAAATTATATCCCCATGAAATCCATTGAAATCCCATGTATGGTTGATTTTACACCAGAGTTATAACACCATCGCATAACTTAATTACCCAGAATGGCAAATGATCCTAGTTCTACTCAGATATACCCAGGATATCCCAGAATGGCTATAATTATCCTACAGTGGATGGAAGAAATCCAGCACCAGTTGATAGGTGGTTTATCCCAGTATTTATAGGGTTTCAACCATCCAAGGTGGTGCAGGATTTCTTGCATCCACAGTATTGTTTGGTGGTTATATCATCCATCGCATCGCGGATGTTTTCTTCGCCAGGCCGATCCTGTGCCCAAGGCTCCGTTGATCATTTGAGGTGATGGCTGGTTTATTGGTTATTTCTTTGTATTATAACATATTATAACTATAGCTATTATAGATGATTATATAGATGATTATAGATGCCTATAGCCTTTTTCGCCCACAATTGTTTATCTGATATTTGTTTGACATAATTTAGGTGTTATAGCATTATACGAACTGGTTTGTTGGAGATGATTACAACTAATGATAGGGATACCCATGACTCATATCTGGATCGGTCAATATAGGTTGATACAAGATATAACCACTAAAAACATGGATGTATATAATGTGTCACCAACTCGAATTGGGGGTTGGGTCAGATTAATCCACATTGGGGGAATGTCATCCTCCGTGGCAAATGGTGGCAATATACACCAATTACAAGGAACCTGCATTTCCGACGAACCTGCAATCATAGGTGCCTCAAATACTTCCCTAGAGCCAACCATTGTTATTTCGATTTCACTGGCTGACCTCACTATAGATGATGAATATTGTAAGGGGAGTCATCCCCAGTTCGGGTTTTCAATGTCTTGCTTGTTGCCCGGATCCGTTCCGTGTTTCGATGAATCCCTGCTCAAGCGCTCATCCCAATGCCTATGAGAAACCGCTGTGGGGATGACAGGAGGTCGCGGCAGCCTTTGGCACTGCTCAAAACCACAGCCTTTGGCACTCCGGAAACTCACTGTTATACCCTGCGCATAGTGATGTTAGATTTTCCATGTATGCAGTATGCATCGGAAAAAATACATCATGATCGTGTATAGATATATCCGGTACATACACAAATGCCCAATACAAGTGCTTATATACATACCATACCATACCATACCATACCATGCCATGCCATGCCATACCATACCATACCATACCATTACCATTACCATAGCATACCATAGCATACCATAGCATACCATAGCATACCATAGCATACCATAGCATACCATACCATACCATACATACCATACATACCATACATACCATACATACCATACATACCATACATACCAACATACATACATACATACATACATACATACATACATACATACATACATACATACATACATACAATACATATACATATACATACATACAATACATGCCATACCCCATACATGCCATACATGCCATACATGCCATACATGCCATACATGCCATACATGCCATACATGCCATACATGCCATACATGCCATACATGCCATACATGCCATACATGCCATACATGCCATACATGCCATACATGCCATACATGCCATACATGCCATACATGCCATACATGCCATACATGCCATACATGCCATACATGCCATACATACCATACATGCCATACATGCCATACATACCATACATACCATACATACATACCATACATACCATACATACCATACCATACATACCATACATACCATACATACCATACCATACATACCATGCATACCATACATACCGTACATACCATACATACCATACATACCATACATACCACACATACCATACAACCACACATACCACACATACCACACATATCACACATACCATACATACCACACATACCACACATACCACACATACCACACATACCACACATACCACACATACCACACATACCACACATACCATACATACCATACATACCATACATACCATACATACCATACATACCATACCATACATACCATACAGACCATACGGACCATACAGACCATACAGACATACAGACATACAGACATACAAACATACAGACAGACATACATACAGACAGACATACAGACAGGCAGACATACATACATACATACATATGTGTTACTTGTGTATGTACATATATGTATATATATTACTATATAATTTTCAAAGCTTTTGTAGATATGATATAGATATACAAGTAAAATTTAATATATACAATATATATATATATTATTTATTTGCACAGGATTGCACAGGTGATTTCGACTCGCAAAGTTGCAACTAAACATGTGTGCACGTCGATTGCAGACGGAGTCCCACTTGTGCTGCAGGCTCAAAACGGCTCCAGTTGAGGCCAGGTTGAGAGCTGTGAATCCATTCAAATGTGGCTAGATGATTGTTGTATCTGGGTATGTACTTAAAAAATGCAATACACAGACATGTATACATCTTTATATATATTATGTATGTATATGCAAATAATTTTGGCAAAACATATATATATAGGGATGTATGTATGCGTGTATGTATTTGTTCCCCCTGTTCAGGAAAACCATTAAAATCGTTAGATATCCGTGATTTGTTGAATAGAATCTGAAGATGAAAAAACAAATGTAGAAACGTCTTTCAAGATCCTTTTGTTGGCGTGTCTATGGTCCTTTTGTGAGGGGTGCATACCCCCCGAGATATGCAAAGCCCGTAGATATAGACAATGTAACATTGAGTGGTCTCAGTCTTGAGAAAATGAAACAACTTGGGGTTGTTATACCGCGAGTCGGCTAGATGTTGGTGGTTCCCAATGTGTGAGTATGTGTGAGTACTGTACTGAATGTCTATGCTTGTTGGCTACTTCCACCCCATGAAAATTGGTTTTACATGGATCTTCGCCATGTCAATTTGCGATTCCGTTAATGTTGGTTTGTAAGTCTCTAGCCAGATATGTTGTTTGCATCCCATTACCCTGTCATAAAAGAAAACATGGCAAGTGCATATCATTGCAATGCTCAATGGGCTCGACTCAATGAGTAAGTTTAGAGGTCAACTGCGTAGATGTGATTTCTTTGAGCCTGCCATGAGAGATTACCTATCAGAGAAAGTACGCAAGCAGAACGAACAAAATGTTGCAACTCACACAGACTGGGACTTGCAACTGTGCCCCCTTGATTCATCATGTTTGGTTTCATTGATCCTAGATGCAGCGTTGGGATTATGTGTCGGCAATTTCTATCCATGTTTTGGCTCAGCCGCTCAGCGCATGTCTGGAGCACAGTTGAGGGATGCTAAGTGCTTGCCGTCTTGGGGGGCCTCACGTTTGAGTCATACCCCGACACATATTTTTTGCAGTAAATGTGTTTGAATCATTGTTGAATCATTTTCATATCTCAGCAAGTTCATCATTGAGGTGAAACTTTAGTGATCTTTAGTGCATTGTCCATCCGTTTTTCACCACCACAGCTGCACTGTCCTTTTTCTTAATCCCACCTGGGTCACCGCAAACGTGGTCGATGACTGAAGAGTGGGCACAGTGGGCCATGCCATTGCGAACTCACCGTTGGGTCAGCTGATGCTGCCGGACATCAAACTCTCAGCGCGTGGCTTGGTGGCCGTTACAGGGTTACAGGGTTAGCCTCTGATGATTTAATATAGCATAATATAGCTATGTTAAGATATGTTGAAATCACAAGAACATCTCAGAAAGCCAGGCCCGCATGGTTTCAAGGTTCAATAACCTGGACGGAGCGGAAACGTGGTGAGTCCGGTTACGCAGCTGCCCTTTCCGTATTTTCCGTGGCACACGATCGATCAACAGTTGATGCGATATGAACAAAAGAAGAACCTGGCAGGAAAACAATCACAGATGAGCCATATACCATGATATACCCATATACAGCTATGAAATCTATGAATGATTATGAATCTCGGGAAGTGGATCAACTCTTACAGATATCTTACAGGTAAAATCAGATAAATCTGCACCGTTATGTGGCTGACATCCTCAGGAAGATATACTACAGCCTAGTGGTGTTTTGATTTTTGTTTCAAGGCCGATATCAGCACTTGAATTCAAGCGTTGAAATATGATATATAAATATACATAATTTATAAATATACATAATATATAAATATACATAATATATAAATATACATAATGTATAAATATAACATATATGTATATACTTATGAATATACATATATATATATATATTTATGAGTATGTATATATATATATGCATATATATATATGAATATCTATATATATATATATACATGAATATATTTATATTTATATTTATTTATATTTATTTATATTTATTTATCATAATAATAATAATGATAATAATAATATGTAATAATAGATATGTATATATATATATGTAATACTATAATTAATATATATATATATAGAGAGAGAGAGAGAGACTTGGGACTTGGGCATCGTTTGAAGACATCCAATACTTGGGTACTTGAGTACTTGAGTCAGGTGGTCCAACAAATACTGGGGAACTGTGGTGAACTGGTGAACCCCCGCTGGCCCAAAAAAGGCTGAGGCAAATACAGGAAACCATGAGAATCATGATAGCCACTCAAGATATGTTTGATCTTGAAAAGAATCATCCATTACACAAAAATGGCATGAGATCAAATAATATAAGATTGCGCTGGCACATTTATAGCGCATATGTTGATACGAATTTTTGGTGAATAGATCACCGTTTCAGCCACGGATCACGGTGGGCACCGGTGCTATCCGGTGGTATTTGCAGGACATGATCGCTCTGCAGAGACCACGTCAGCCACCTTGGAGACCTTTGAGCAGTCGCTACAAGCCAGGCTTACCCCGTTGGGAGCTATGGATTCTAGAACAGATTTACACCCAACCAACCAATTAATGGGAAAACGTGATGGGACAATGCTGGGAATTGCTGGGGATTTTTCCTGGCATATCATGGCATATTCTGGTTATGACTAACAGTTCGCTATGGAAGCCATGGCCCATAGAAATAGATAATACACATATATAAACACGCTGATTTTCCAATTGACAAGCTCGGTGGTTTTCCATAGTTGCGTTGGATAACCGGCAGGATTTACTCAAGATTCACCTTCACAAATTCCAATACATTTCAGGAGGTACAAGTCGCCAATGGAGCCTATGCGCTCAGATCAAGCAAGTCACTCAAAACACTTGGGGATTTGTAAGGTCTCAATTTTTGGACTCCATAGAGACCATGTTACAAACACATCAAATTTGAATGAATTTGATAGTACATGGCATATCGGTTTGATTCAATGGCAAGTCCATTCATGGATTCAAGAGAACCAGGGGCCAAAATGTTGACCCATATTTGAATCATCAAGTTTGGCTATACACATAGTGATACATGGTTTGCTATTTTGGGTTTCTGGGTTCACACCTCAACATCTGTATTCATGGATGTTCATCCCCTCCTTTCAGTTCGTGGCATGACCCAAACCCAAAAATATTCCAAATCTCTACACATGTACTTAAATCCCTTTGCTTGAATGTCAAATCCCCATTTGTAGATTGGTTTCAAAGGCACATCAACCCATAATTTTCCTCCAGTAAGTCAAGCTTGTACTCCTCAATTCGATTTTTGTTCAACAAAGTTTGATTGTTTGAAGTTTCATCATATGTTTCATGTTTTTCATCATATTTGGTATTAGATGATCCCCGGTCAATTAATTTTGTCAGCGGCTTGAAACCTTGAAACCTTGAAACCTCGAGTCGCCAGCAGGTCGGCCAGAAGTACTGGAGCCCGCCGCAGCAAGGGGCGCATTGCTAGTACTCTGGAGCCTCGGTTTGGATTTTGACATCGATAAAAGACGTGGGACCTTTAGTAGGGTTTCCTGGAATCCATTTTTTGGGGGTGTTGCGAAGCACATGGAGTATGTTTATTTTTATTGTTTCTGTGATGATGATATAAGTAAAGTGAGCGTAAGCTGTTTGATTTATATGATTAATGTTAAATTAACTAATTGCTTTGCTGGGATAAGTTGGAAAACAAGACAAACACGGACCAACCAGCTAAAGCTTATGTTTTTGAGAGGCTGTTTGGTATCTAGGCTTAACCCATGGGATGGAATGAGTGAATTCTGGTCAAGACCTGAGTATTTTCATGATGAACAATGATGAGAGTCATGATGAGTAGCAGGAATTCTGTGAAAATGACCAGGCTGACCAGCTTGAGCAGCTATGGTGACCATGTCAGGTTGAAGGATAGGTTTATGGTCAGTGCATGTCTTCACAAGGGTCAGGTTTGACTCAAAGGCTTCAATTGACCTATTACAGGAAAGTATGGAAAACATTGGGAAACGTATTTTAACCGGCTTTTCACCGCTTTTTCACTCACTTTTCGCGGACTTTTCGCGTTCATCGTGAAAAAGTTGTAATTTCATCAAAGTTGACCAGCTTCACAAAGGCTAGATTAAACCATGTTAAACCTAGGCGTTGTGTCTGGGTGAGTTTTTGGTGGCCGTTAAAGTTCTGGGTATAATAGACATGTTTTCAAGACATAAAAATCCAACCATGCCCGGTTTCACGAGTGTAAACCTTAGAAACGTGAAATCACAGAAGGAAAGTTGCGACCACATCCAACAGATACCAACACTTGCCTCATTTGGTGGAAACTACAAGACTTTGCAGGTCCGTTTCGGTGATTTTGTTTGTCCCGTGAGGTATGTCCATGGATGTCCATGGTTCCCATAGAAGCTTGTGTCGTTGCATCTCTTTCTGATGCAAGCTCCCAAGGTATAGACTTGAGTCACACAGTGTATATCATAGTATCCCCATAAACTCCGCCATAGGATTCATGTGGAATCTAGGAGACATCTCAAATCTTCAGTTTCCAAAATCACTCAAATACAGGCATCATACAGGATCTAAGTTTTCTAAATCCCAGCTTCGTTAAACAGAAACCCATCGGCCAATCTCAGGAGAAATGGTTGGAGTCTGTGCGCCGCGCTGCGCCCTTAGCAGCTGGGAGCTTCGAACGTCTCTACGTGCAGCAGGAGGCGTCGCAGGAAGTGGGGATGCAAAGAAGGCTGGTGTCTCCAATTGGAGTGGAAAGCCTCCGAAATTGATCTGTATATGATTGTATTATATCATATTGCATTATATTATGTTATACTGTAGTTTAATATATTATTATGTTTAAATTATATAATTTATGATATATGATATATTATATATGATATATGTTATATTATATATTATATATTATATATATTATATTATATATTATATATTATATATATATATATTATATATTATATATATATATTATATATATTTTATTTATTATTCAATATGTATATATATATATACATATTTGTACATATATATTATAAGGTTATTAATATTAATTATCTATAATGTATAGTATGTACATATATTATATATAACTTGTTGCTTATTGCATGATTCCGTCATGTTGCTGATTGTGTTATGAGTATCTCGCGATGTTTTTGTGCTATATTCACGGCCTTGATTGGTGTAAGACCCCGCTTATCTCTATGTTTTTGCTGGGTCCTTACTAACCTTTCGGTTTGTTTGGCAATTCAACACATCCCTACATATTTCCCAAACCAAGATGTCATATTTGACCAAGTTTGAATGAAAAATGGGGTCCCCCATTTCAGGAAGTCCACCATATCATGAAAGTACATGAAGGCCACTCTTCAGAGGTTTTTCGTGACAACCCAGGATTGATTCGCCACCCCTTGTTGCTTTGATTTGTTGGTCTCTTGACTTTCTTATTGCAACATGTTTCAACATCTTTGTGGGGCAAGTTCTAGGGTGTACACTTTGTACGCTCAAGACCGTGAATTATATTTGTTTTAGTATCGTAATTGATATGAAAATATATACAATTGAAATCCATGGAGATTCTGAAAATCAGATAAATATCTATGATTTTCAGAGCTTTGTTTGACATCTATCATTGACCTGGCACCTCTTTCAAGGTTGAAGAAAGTAAATCCTGGCGCCGATAGAACAGTAAAATGCTAGTAAAACATAGTAAAACAGTGGGCAATCCTGGTAAATGTCCTTTGTATCTTTTGGGGGCCAAAACAGTGGGCAATCCTGTTTCGACTTGGGAGGCTTTAGCTTGGCTGTGCGACTTGCTCCCAACTTACCGGCCTTTCTTGGACGGAGTCGGGACCTGAGACATCCACTGAAACCAGTGGCTGTTGGAGAAGAAATCCCCACTGGTTACGGGTGCTTTTAAGATGTGTATGTTATGTTTGTTTTCTTTACCAAGCGTGAAAATGGAAAACTGCTATGTGATGATGTCGATCGGCCCATGTTTTTTGGGCTGCTATGTGATAGGGGCTTTCTCGATGCCCATTCTATCCCTGTATATGTTATGGTTAGTTTCACTTCCATTTCTGTTGGGAAAATCTCCATCTTCCGCATTGCTAAGCATTTGGTGTGCCCCATGGCACGGCGTGACACACACTTTTTCCAGGTCCTCGAGGAGCTCACTGTTACGCTGAAGCATTTGGAGGACCGCTCCACGGAGAATCAGCGCCTTGGAACCTGGATGGTTCCCCTTAGATGATCTCTCTATGGCTGGGGTAAACTAACCAACCGCACTGGATGGTACTTCTAGAAAAATGGTGTATCAAGGCAGCCAAAAGGATATATACTATTGGTTATCCCGGAAAGGCCCTTCTCTACGCAACTGTTGGGATTTATGTGGCAGTTCGTTGGGATTGACACCGTTTTTCTTGTGAAGACGTTGAGGCATGTGTTTCGTTTTTGTATATATAGTGTCTGATGCATGAGAATTAATCTTCCCCTTTTCAGGCCCATTACCTTGGACCCAGACTATTCTCCATATGGTTCTGTCTCAATGAATAGTGTATAACACAGTGTATAGCCAACTTTACGGACATGAAGTGATGGCAAAGATGAATGACAACAACAGTAACAGTCATAGTGATGATGACGATGATGACGATGATGATGACGACGATGATGATGATGATGAGAATAATAATGACTAATTATACATATACATATACTGTACACATAATGATCTGGATTTGGGGTATCCTGATTGTGGACAACCCCCTCCTAGCGCTCAGAAAGGGGAACCTCCCAGAATACGCGCAAAGCTTTAAAGTTGGTCAAGTATGAGAAGTCAGCACAGATACAAAGTTGGTTCTGGGTCAAAGCCAAAATGGGCAGGTTGTTGTCCTGAAGATTCAAAATTCTCACTGGTGGTGAGAGAAGCATGAGAAGACCAGATATTTGAAGGCGGTTCTCAAAGATCGGAACGCGCGAACATTGTCATGTTTTATGCTCAAATCAATGATTTTAGGTCCTTTGTTTCTTGTCGATTTTTGTTGCCCAATTGGCTTCGTTGCCACTGTGAAATCGGATCGACATGCATTTGATCTGGTCCAAGCTGGCATTTGGCCCGGTTGAGCACAGTAACGAAACAGCAGATCGATCTACGGTGGATGGGATTCTTCCATAGAAATCAATGATTTTCGCCATCACCTTCCAGGTTAACTGATTTCCAACAGATTTTCCCAGACAGATTCTGAGTCACCAAGGAAACTCAAGTCCCAGTTGCGCGCCTTGGCAAATCGAATGAAATCCTCACAGAAAATGTGGTGACATTGGATGACATGAAGTCCTCATTGTTTTTTTCCGGCTTGAACAGCCCTTTGTTGGTGATTCTGATTCAAACATGCCACAAGTTTACTTCCTGGCATCGTGTGGTAAAAATACCTGTCACCAGGGCGCCAATGAACAGCGACAAAAATCACAACCTGTGGGGAGCAGTGTGAATGGTGGCGATGGCTTAGCACAGATAGCATCATGGATAAACCATATGAACAACCAAGCACTGATGTTCAGTGCTCATTTCTAGGTCAATCTTACATGGATACTTTAATCCTTTAGTCTTTTGGTATCAACGGGAATATCTACTAACCAGCAAAGAAATTATTTTTTTGCAGGGTATCTAAGATTGGCAATGATTTCTTCTTGTTCTCTGTAGATATATGTTGGCTATCCAACTTTGCGCCTCACGCTTTTCACCCCGGATAGAAATTGTTCCAGGCTGAGTGATCTGAAAATGGGGTACACCCCCAAGTTGTGGCTGTTCAAACTGGGAGAATATGATGATAAACCGATAAACCATAGGATTTTGTGGGTTCCCTATTTTTGGACACCCAAATTTCCCTAAAAAATGGATGGTGATGGTGACCAGAATGTTTTTTCGATGTCTCAACTTAAAATTGTGCCTAGAAGGGAATGGGGGAATGGGATGATTGTTGATAGATCATTATAGATCATTATAGATCATTCCCCCATTTCCTACTAAGCACTAGTACCCTCTGGCAAACTAACATGGCTATTGAAAAGCACCATCGTTAACTAACAGTAAGTCATTATAGTCATTATAAATCTGTCATAATTTGTACCACTTACCATTAAGCCAAATGCTTAAAAAAACTCGTCTCTTCACCTGGAAGAATCACGGCAACGTCCAAAGGCCACGTGTCGGGGCAGCTGCAGACACAGCAGTTGCTGCATGAGTTGCAGCTGGCGGAAGCGTGGCTACTTGGGTTTTCATAGCTGGTCTGACCATGAAAATTGGGATTTAAGATTTAATAGGTGGATCTTGTATATATCACCAGAGATAGATACTATTAAGAAATTGGATAAATCATAAATTCATTTATTGAAATATGAAAATTGTGATTTCACCAGATAGATACGAGGGGTTTGAAGGGTAGTATGTATACATCTAATATAATAATATGCAATATTTATAGATATACAATGATATACATATAGGTTTAATGGATATATGGAATAGCTGCATTGCATGGGATATTCCCTTTTGACATGGCCATATATGATCATAAATGGGAAATCCATCATGTTCAGACACATTAATATGGATTCTTAGACATTGTGAATTCATATGTACATGTTTTTTGTACCGTGGATTAACATTAACCATTCATATCAATCGTCCATTAGTGAGCCATTTGAATAAATGATTGATATGGATGTTTACTAGTCACCCTAATTACAGTATGGTTGAGAAAGGCGGATGCTAGCTGCTATCCTTGATATGGTCGGTTCTGAATGAATACTAATATATACAGTAGTATTCTTGTGAGAGAATTCATTGGTACGGAGTACGGATTGGGACTTTTTACTATGCTAAGCAACCCACCAGAACAGTTCTAATTTCAAGAAAGGTTTGGTGAAATATCGTGAAGTCTCCATATATTTAATCATGCAAATGTCCATGATCAATTGCATTAATCCCATGTTCTTTAAGAAACAAAAAAAATGATCGTCATCCTCCAGTAAATTACATGGATATGGAAAGGGATTTGATGGATTTCCATATCTATGGGTTACGGGAAAGGCTGCAAGACCCCTTGTTTTTTGTCATTTATTAATAGCTGGGGGTTTTGTAAGTTGTCCCTTCATCCAATTTGCCATGTTCATGGGAGATGAAACTAACCATAGTGGGAACTTTTGAAGGGAGATCATAGGGATCTAACCAACAAGATGGGGAGACGATTGGGTTTGGGATTCGAGTGGTTAAATTCCCAGCATATGTTCTAAATATACCTTGGATATACCCTTGAATAGCATGTTTGATTCCATATAAATCACAATGTTTGTTGCTCAAATCATGCCATTTTGGTCCTCCCTTTGGTCACCATGTTAGTTGGTCCAGTCCACATGTTTTTTTAATTAAATCATCCTGAATCACTAAGATTCACTAATGCATGTCTGAATCCATTTGAATCCCCATAAATCACTGGTGTTTGTCGCTTAAAGTCGAAAAATCATGACAATTAATTCAGGGGGTTATAGTTGGTAGAATCGAGATTCGCCAACGAAGAATGAAGCGGGAAAACCAACTGGCAGTTGAATACTTTATATAATAATCTATAGCAACCCCAACCATCAAAAATTTGACAACCTGGAAATATGAGGTAAATATATATATATATTATATGTAACTATCCTCTATCCTGGGAAGACCTTTTGCATCTTTTTGGGATGATGCCTCAGGTCTGTGGCACGCACGGCGCAGCAAACGCCCAGCCCTGAGCGGCCTGAGCGGGCCGGGAGTCCGAAGAAGGAGGCGTTTTTTGCGACAGGGAGACGTGGAACCTGGTGATCAGGGTGGATTTGACCAGAGAATGGCCCAGAAAAATCGGCGTTTCACCAGTTTCACCCACAACAAATGAGGATTTGACCAGCACAAACCACCAACAAATGGTAATTCTAGCTGGGAAATCAAGCTGGTGAATTCGATTTAATTCCCACAGATTCCACGTATTGTGTAATCATTAAACTACATTTGCACATATGTACACACCAAAAAAATGAACATTATCAGATAACAAAGATCATATTTAATCAGATTTACATATATTTACTGTAGCCACAGAATCCGTGCTAGGTTTCATTAGTTTCCCCATTTTGAAGGTAACGGTTGCTATGCTCTGGGTCCCATCATGTCCCATCCTTCACCATCGCAGGGAGGGTCACCGCGGCGCAGAGTTGTCAGCCACAGGGAGAAAGAATTGGAGCCTGGGCATCCCCTTGGGGATGGGTCGGTGGGACGACTGCGAGATTATTTACCACGAATTGGGGGCGACCAGGGTGATAAGATGCAAGCCTAGACCTTTAATATCCTTTAATAGTTAGAACAAGAACCCATAGAGACTTGTATTAGAGTTCTGTATGGTGTTTAAAACACCCGTTTTTTATGGCTACCTCATTGGTGCCCACCTGAAATAGATTTGGAATTCGATCCACCAATGGACTTGGGGGCACTCCAGAGTTGAAGCAAAGCTGGGGTGTTCTTCCGAACACGAGCACGCCAAAGACGGTGGTTTTCCATGATTTCAATGTTCTCAAAGCCATGTTCACGCATACCACAGGGCACGGCTGACCATTTCCAGAGCAGGAAATATTAGTTTTGGCTTAGGTACATAGATACGGTACTTAACTACACATCCCGGAGTATACTAGAATATCAAACTGGAGCATCTGCCGCAGGAACGTAATCTGAATGTCTAGTCTAAAGTGTATTTTCTCCAGGATGATGGTGTGTAAATAATTATATGTAGAGTTTTTGATATGTTGTGACAATATAATTATGATATACTATATATAATTATTGTATAACACACACATATATATATATATATACACACAGACTTACACATTTACACATGCACTCGTGTTTGTTTCGGCAACGGATGTGAATTTCGCGATGAACCCAGGAAAAGAAGAACGAGCAGTTGACCGAGGAGTCTTTCCCCAATTCCAATGGATTAGTAGATGGGCATCCCATGAAAATGACCATTACCCTCTGGTAAACTAACATAGACCCTGAAAATAACCAATGTTTAATGGAAACTAATCTTCCAAGTCCTATTTGCCAGGGTCTATGTTAATTTACCAGAGGGTATATGGCGGATATAGATGGATATACCCCGTTTTCAAGGCATATATTGGAAATCATCTATAAATATCTATAAATTATGGATGAAACATGTTTTTTAGGGCAAAGTCATGGATTGCCAAGATTGTCAGAGGTCAGCTCTCTTACGATTCTTCCAGCTTGGCTCTACAAAAGGGATGCTTGACACTGACACCTTTTCAAAGTCATAAGATTGTCAACAGAGGTTCCACATCATGACAATCAAAACATATGTTCAACCAGGCGTGCTGATGGGAGGGTCAAAGCAGAAAAATATCTAGATTGATGAGGTCAGGCCAGGTATGGGCGAAAGCAAACGCCCAGAAATGCCGCTCGGAAATATGACAGCGTCTCGTCTCTACATTTTAGGGATGCTTACCTGTGGGCTTGGGTTTTCATATGGTTTCACCCATTATGGCTCAAAATGACTGGCCTCAAAAGGATGTGTGGTCTAGCATTGCAAGCGACTCATTGTGGCTCCGTTCGCAACACGTGGTGTTGCCCAGACTGTTTGCGTTTTTACAACTTGTGTCAACCCATTTATGGGGATTCATGTTTAATTTTCAAGATTGGAATGTAGGAACATCTCAGCTGCACTAGGAACTGATTTTTGAGTTTGTCCAGTCCAAACATATATCCCCTGAATTCAACATGGATACTGAACAGTCAGGTTTAAACAACATTATGTTCTATTGGATGTGGTCACTGGTACCATTTGTACCATGAAAAAATAATAAAATAGATGATAGGATGATATGGTGATTCCTAATGAACAGGGTAATAGGACAAACCAACCTAGATGTGGAAAACCTATGGTTTCTCTAGGAAATTTATATATATATAGATGTATACATAATATACATATACGTGTGTCCCACATCTTTTCGTTTTTGTTTACGCTAGGGTATCCCAACAGTCCGAGAAAACTTACCATCACAGGGCTTGCCCCTGTACCAGAAGTCTGGGGATTGTCATCACAGCGGACGGGAGAATTTAAGATATCACCATTTTTTAGTAGAACATCCATGATGTTCAACATAGGCATAGGCTATGTTCACTCTATTTTTTTCATAGCTATTATCTTCATAACCAGAGGTTATATGTCAAATATACATTGCAATTGGTGGGAATCCCATGGTGGGTGGGATGACATGGGATGACATGGGATGACCATAGCCGTTAGGAGCACCAGCAGCTGACTCACCAACTGGATAGCTTGAGGTCGGGCGTTCCAAATCTCAGGGATGCTACCAATTCGCCAATTCTGGTGATAGCCCACCAAACATGGAAATATGTAGCAGGAGGAAGCCATAACATGGGGATACAATGCATACACTTCCCAGAAGATGGGTGTGATACAAGCACTGGAAAAAAACATTGTTCGGGCTGGTGACCTTTTTGGGGAAGAGATGTAGAGAGTGGGGCAGTCCACAACCAATACCATGGCAATGAGATGTTCATAAATGTCCATGTCAAATCCATTATGACCTTTTAGAATCCAGTATGACCTTAGATCTGATCATATACCATATGCGGGGTTCCTAAAATGGGGGTACCCCAAAATTACTCAATTGATCTCAATCGTCTATTCGGTGCCCAGTAAACTGGGACTCAAATTTCAGAGGCTCAGGGCCAGGAAGTGGTTGATAAAAAAACGGACACCTGATGTTTCACACTGCAATTCCTCCCTTAGCGGAAGACACAGCATCCAGATTGAGAACATGTTTGATCTCAATGGGTGAAATTCATGACTTCCTGATGGCCATGTCATGACTTACACCTCAAAAATGGGCCAGGCATCAGCTGCAGGCCGGGCCGCTAGTGCTGGTGAAACTGGCCAATGATAGTATAATGGTGATGAATTGATGAATGGTGGTTAATGCTGGTTATATGTTGGTTATATATTATAGCTAAGTATAGTTGAACTATGTTGGACTTAGTAATAATTCGTTAACTGGCTGGTAGGGTTCAGATACTTCTTGTTTTTCAACCATACTGGCTGCGTGTTTGCTTGAGATGACTAATAAATATATTTTTTTGGTGGGTGAAAACTACCAGCCAGTTAAGGTAATTGGTTCACCTACCTAAACTGGGAATTACCTATCACTTTGCACTCACCAAGTGGATACACGTGGTGATTTTTTCCATGGGATTTCACCTTTACCAACCAATGGCAAACGTGTGAGTTGCCCTCCAGAAATTGGATGCAGCCTAGTGGTTGATGGCAGCCATTGTATTATTACCACCAGGGATTCCACTATGCTATCTACAGATGTACGTTTTTCATTGAAACTAGTATGATAGTACTATTGCTATCCAAGATGAGATTGCCATTCAATATGACATCCGCTTGCCGCCTTGTACATAATGTATACCTTGAAATTGATACTAACTGAGCCATTAAAACTAGCCGCGGCCTGGTTGATTGGTTATGATAAGGAGTTATACTACCAGAATCATTGGTGATTAACCCATATTAGGGAAAACCATAAACCAACTCATATTTCATGAGATGGGATGTTTTTTTCTTGATGGTTCGACGATATTTTAATATATATATATATATATTATATACATATAATATATAATATATAATATATATAATATATAATAGTATATATATAATATATAATATATAATATATAATATAATATATAATATATAATATATAATATATAATATATAATATAATATAATAGAATAGAATAGAATATAATATAATATAATATAATATAATATATATATACACTTATTGCTTAATGCCAGTGAAAGCCTCAGTGTTCCCCGGGCCAGGAGAAGGCTCGTCACCTGCAGCAGCTCGAGCCTTTTGGATTTGCAAAAATGGCGAAGACCTTATACACACACATAGAGAGAAGAGAAAGAGAACATAGCTATTGAAAATTGCCATTTATAGTTGATTTACCCATTAAAAATGGTGATTTTCCATAGCTATGTTAGTTTACCAGAGGGTATAACTTATTTGTAACCTCAACTGCACAAGGTTCACCAATGGCCTTACCAGGGCCATCTCGCTATCATGTATTGACGTCAGGCTTTAACTGCATCCATTCCTGACGCCTACGTTAAAGGGTAGTGGAACTGGACTTCTGAAATCTCACTATACAGGGGAGTTGAATTGGGTACTGTTACTGTTCTGATTCTTCTTCATTTAACAAGCTGGTAGGTATGTTTAGCCGGTGTATCCAACGAATGAGTAGCTCACTTGCTGAATTCAACGAGGTGCTAGGGTTCGTCCAAGGTATCGCTTGGCCCATAGTCTTCTAAACTTCTAAACTATGAAATCATTTGGCCCGTGAAATTTGGGAATGGGTCAATATTGCAGATCTAGGAGTCACCCGTGACAATTGCTGGCGTGAACCCGTAAGTTTGAGCCATACCGGCAGCCATACCCAAATGTTGGTAGTCCACGGGTCAGGCGGAGAAATGGTGGATAAACGGTGTTTGCTTCCGCCAACACGTGTTTGCAGCAGTCGTTAGGGTTTACCCTTTACACCCCAGTGACGTAATCAGTCATTGCGATTTAGCAAAATGCCCTTGCAGTGAAAAAAGGAGGTAATCTGATTTAACATAGCATCCATTCAAGTTCCTGGTCCTGAGTCATTATTTGCATTGGATATCGCCAAGTAAAACACCATGTATGCTCGTCCGACCTAGGTCCGCGAAAGCGAACGCGGCGGCCGCGGCGGCCGCCATGGAAGCGGAAGTTCAGAAGTCGCCCTGGCACGGCGCAA